TGGCAATTGGAGGCCAGGATGTTATTTGTGTTAGACAGAAACATTCATCAACCATTCCTCCTGCCGATCTCAGAAAGCATTTGGAGGATCTTGGAGATTTTCTCTTTTCTGATAGAAAAAGTCCATCCCTGATGCAGAGAAATGCGAAAGATGGGAAACAAAAGGTAAGTGGTCTGTTTCGTTGAACATATTGCATGATAATATTTGCTTCTATGCATTGTTTCTTATGCATTATCAATGTGTGGCTATGAACGTCTACAGGTACCTGACGTTTTCAATAGGATTCTGCAGTCAAACACCATGCACCTGACCAGCATTACAGAAACATCAAGCAAGGAGGTAAAAGAGCAGCCTACGGTGGCACCTTTCATTTCCTGAGAATGACCTAGAGGTTTATTTATTGTACCAATCTCGTTTTTCCTGACTTGTACAGGGCCTCACCATTGTTTGTTCGAAAAGGGGTGGTGATGTGTTCTCACACAGTCATTCTAACTGGTTACAAACAGTACCTGCAAAACCAGAAGCAATCCTCTTCAAGTTTGTGCCAATTACTTCTCTTCTTACTGGGGTCCCTGGCAGTGGTTATCTTAGTCATGCTATCAACTTGTATCTACGATGTAAGTCCTCATGTGCTGAAGAGATGCTCATCCAGCTTATACAAGATATCTCAACTTCATTAAATTATGTCTCGCTCAGTTGTCAGGACGTTCACATAGCATCATCTTAACTTTGTCGATTGCTCTTATTGTCCAGACAAGCCTGCCCCAGATGATCTGCAATTCTTTTTGGAGTTCCAAGTACCAAAGCAATGGGCACCTATGTTCTGTGAGTTACCTCTACGGCATCAAAGGAAGAAGGCTTCATCCCCATCTCTGCGGTTCAGCTTTATGGGACCCAGGCTTTTGGTTAGTTCCACTCAGGTACATTACTCTACAACTAATTGCTTTGTGCTTTGTGACTGTTGTGGTTGGTTTTCATGCAAAATTAATGTTCTGTATAAGTACTATGAGTTTCTCGTTATCATTTACCAAATTTTGCGTTATGTCGATCATTCAGGTTTCAAGTGACCAAAAACCAGTGGTTGGGTTGCGTTTGTATCTAGAAGGGAAGAAATGCAACAAGCTGGCAATACATCTCCAGCATCTCTCAAGCCTTCCAAACCTCATGAACACATCATCATCCAACTCTGCCACCGTCTCCAGACCATGCCAATGGCAAGGCTCCGACCGGTATCCATCCAGCGACCAATTCTTAGAACCCGTGAGGTGGAAGCGATACTCGAAGGTCTGCACGTCCGTAGTCAAGCACGACCCAACATGGCTCCACGATGGAGGAGTTTTCGTTGTAACCGGCGCACAGCTTCTCAGCAAAGGCAAATGGCCCAACTCGGTACTCCACTTGCGCCTGTCATTCACACACTTGCCCCACTGCAGCATCCGGAAGACCGAATGGGCAGCTGTCCCAGAAGCACCCCATAAGACGAGCATCCTCACGAACATCAGCACGACATTCACATTCACTCAACGAACACCTCCTGGCCAGGACAAACAGGCTGCCGCTCCAGCAGCTCTGAATTCTGGAGTGTACCCAGATGGTCCTCCAGTTCCAGTCAGCTCGAGGAAGCTTCTGAAGTACGTGGAGACAGCTGAGATCGTTCGCGGTCCACATGACACACCGGGACACTGGTTGGTAACAGCCGGTAAGCTAGTGGTCGACGGTGGGAAGATTGGTTTGCACGTGAAGTTCGCGCTGCTGGACTATCCAGATAGTTAGAATTCGAGTATGTGTGTATAATATAGTGATGGGTGCAACTTATTTTTTGTTTCTTTTTGTTGTATGATAAACTGAGTTGGGGGTATACAAACGTTTCGTGCACCCAGAGGCGCTTTACCAGGAGAAAAAAAAAACTACATTACAGAGAAGAGGAATTGAAGTGACTAGTACATTTACTTGTTGTATACACAACCGAAGTAATTGACGAACAATTGATACATCAGCTAAACAACCTCGTCGGCTCCCCTATGATTGAATATCACCATGAACACAAATCCATGGCCATAATGTTGTCTTGATACCTTCATGAACAAGTCTACGAATCCACCACCATCGTTGCATGTCATCATGGGACGCGTTCCAGAACATGCTGCAAAGCCTTCTTGATACCTTCCTGATCAAGTGTTGTTGTCAATTGGATTTCCTGCACCTGAACCGCAACCAAGTGTTCATCATGATTCATGAGTTAGCAACGGTCAAATGAGTTGAATGAAGTACAGGGGCCAAAATGGTACATCATTCAACTAACTTTTTGGTTTTTGGCGAAGACTTTTAACTATTACAGAAAACAGCTTACCTGCCTACCAGCACGAGCCAGGAGGATGAACTTTCTATCTATCGGCAATGCCTGTTCAAGGATTCACCAAACAAGAATGAAACCATCATACTTACAGGAAGGTAAAAAGAGAGGAGAGTGATTACAAAGTGACTCACATTCGAGAGCCAAAGTTGGAGGTCCTGAGAGACCACCCGTTTCTCGAATCCTTGCCTATTGATTCTTATGTCTTCTATACTGCTCACAATATCATCATAATTAACTAGTTAGCTCTTGTTGCGCACAGAATCATCTATAGAGCAGTGAGGAGGCAAAGCAAGCAAGCAAGCAAGCTATTATACCCTTCTTCGAGCAGGAGTTCAGTGAATATCTCGGTAAGTCCAGGGAGCGGTTCGATGGTAACGCCATTATACGTGCCACTAGGATCGGTGTCAACTGAACCATCGTCCTGGAACACCATGAAGCTTCTAATCAGAATCCTCTTTTGCAATGTGCTTCTAGGGACGTGAATTGACATTTCCTTTTTGTTATCTACTAACCTGAGGAATTACTTTGTCCAAAGTTTCTAGCAGAGGATCCTCTTCCAACTGTTTTATTGACAACGCAATCCTTGACTTCTTCCTGCAACCATTCCTTCATCATATTAACCGCTGACCGGGAGAAAGAGCACTTGGAAAATGACATATAGTCGACACTTACCAATCGACTTCAGTGACTTTGACCCTCACTTCTTGACCTTCAGTTAGGACATCTCTTACATCTCGAACTAAATCCCACGAGACCTCCGAAACATGTATTAGTCCAGTGAGATGATGCAGACCTGACGTTCATTTTTCAGTTCATATCCGGATTGTCAAGAATGCTGAATTAGAAAAGAACAACAGTATGCTATTTTTCCACAGCAAAAGATGGCACACATGAAAAGGGCATTACCATCAGGGAAACGCAAGTGAACAAAGGCACCATAATCCTCCACCAACCCTACTCTTCCCGCGAAAACGTCCCCAACAGTGACACCTTTCGAGAACATTGTCCATGCAGCTTCCCTTTCCGAGAAAACCAAGTTCCTGTTCCCCTCGTCTGCTGCAATTATCTAAAATCAAGAAATCATGAACAATGAAATAATGAAAGTCCAACTGAAGTTGAGCAATATGAAGATAGAAGGAAGGGACAAGATTACCTTCACCCTAATAAGTGCATTGGCCATGCCTTCGGCTATCTCATGGATAGTTTTGTGTGGCTCTACATGAATGACACCAATCATGCAGTTAAAAGGGAGAAGAACAGAGGTAATTAATTCACAATTAGAGCTCTTAGCTTCTTCATAGCCTACTGCCAAATACTAAGAATGGTGAAATGAGTGAGTTAGTTCGTTGATCAGTTACCTTTACAATAGTGAGCAGGGCTCAACTGTGGATAAGGAAGGAAACCCATAAGAGAATGGAAGCGTACAAGTAAACCCCCGGCATTAGAACCCTCGATCCTGCCAACATGAATCGCCCCTCTCTCCTTGAATTCTCTCGCCGCCTTCCAATCGGCGGATCTCTACACTTACTTTGCAGAAAACATTTGTTAAAGAGAGAAAGCGACCAAATTGAATCATTCTTCCACAGAAAGAGTTGGCAGCAATACACAAAAATCAATATCCCAAAGGAAATTGCGTCAGGAAAGCACCCGAGCTAGCTTGGCGGCATCAGGGGAGTCTGCTTCAAGAACAGCTTCGCTGGTGGCGGCGGCGGCGGCAGGGGACCCTTTGGAGTCTCCGGCTCTGACAGTGAGAAGTGAGTGCCTGAGCTTGTGGGTATTCCTCAAATGACTCAACAATGGCGGGTTCACTGCCTGAGAATTTGCGGAGAAGGTGTCAGCGGTGGAGAACAGCTGATGCTGGGAGAGAAAGGAGAGTCCAGCGAGTGATCCACCGTGAGAGAGGGTGAAAATTGGCATGGTGACTCGCTTACGGGGCGGAAAGCAGTAGCCCAGAGTGGCATTTGGATTGGGTTTAAAGGAGTGGCTGTTGACGACGCACATAGCGACCATGATAAAGTCGATAACTTTGCCCAAAGCTCCTGCCTTTTTTTTGGAGGGTGGGTTGTACTTGTACATTTTGGTTGATGGGGTTTTGGGTTCATAATCGTTACAATCTGATTTCAACTGCGGAGTTAATAAAATGAGTATTTGGTTGCATTGATCATTCAATCTTATGATCTGATAATCCTACCACAGTTAGGAATGAACATTGGATGGGTAGTCTTGATGCCTTCACTTATGCAAACCACTAAGAAATGTGCCTTAGCTTGCTTTGCCTCTTTCCTTGATCTTCTCGCAGAGCCCGTTGATCTCGAAAATTGGTACTTCTCTTTTCTATTCGAATTTCGCAATTTTGTTATAGCAATTGATTTCGATCTTGCTGTTTAAGAGGAAAGCTCTTGCCTCCACAATTTTTGGTGCCTTATCCCTATGCATACTCCACAGGCGTAGTCCTTTAAATAGCATGACGAGATAACGTTAATAGATTGTAGGACAAGAACACCAACACTTCGACTATGTAAGGACCCGTAACCCTTCCGAAGAGGGAAGCCATATTTCAACGGTGTAACTCGCATGATCACTCTCTAAACTTCTTCGATTGTCCGAAATTTCAATAGTTTTGAAAGAGACCACATAGACAGACCCTTAATGAAGAAAAACACTTCAACCACATTGTTATTCTCTATTTTAATGTTCTTACCAATTCATCCATTAGTGAATCTCACCTCCACGAAAATGTTATTTGGTCAATTAAGATTGGAGAGGGAAAATGAAGGTCTACCTCTTTGAAGGATAGAAAGACGATCAATGTGGTTGAATCCAAGCTCTAAACTCCACCAAATTAAGTTGTTCTATTTCCAATATGTAGTGGGGGGACAACAGGATTTTTCACTTTCTCATTTTCAAATGCTCGTCTGCCGCCTCAGCCGTTCCAAGAGCTCCTCGGATAGAATAACTTCCGGAGTCCGAACTATGGTCGCAGAAGATTCTCCGGTCACCGTCGAATCAAAACCATCTGTTCTTGCTTTAATTTTGATTACATCGACCCCTCCATGCCGATTCATCATCACCGCGCTGCTTGGCAGCCTCTCCTCGAAAAAGGCTTTGTGTCTCCTTAGATGTCTGCCATCATATCACAATCCAAATTGCATCAGGATTAGCCTGTTTTCAGATTCTGTTAACTTAAAGTTAGAGGCAGCTAAATGATCCGGTCAGGATAATCGAACCGGAAAACCATCACAGCATCAATCAACGAAACCGACAAAGCCAAACCGAGCTTAATGACGGGCACAGAAATCGTTAATGAAGGTTTATGTATAGCAAAAGGTTTGTACTTTATGGTTTTCGGTCGTGTTCTAGCAACCGAAACCATTAACATATAACCAGAACCTGTTCTACACGAATGGTTACCGAGCAACGATTCAGCCATTTTACCCCATTTCAACCAGTTGGTCAATCGGAAAAATAGAAACCAGGTAGCCACTGCTAAACGAGTACAAGCGTGAAACCATTGACAATCCCAGGGGAACGATAATACCTGTCAAGAACCACAAAGGTAGCATGAAGGCTTGTAGTTTGCTCAAGAACCACAAGCTTGAAGGGATGCCCCATTGCCACTTTCATCAAAGGAACCACCTATATAATGACCACAGGAGCAACACCAAATCACAAACAAAAGACCAGTGCCAAATAATGACAGTCGAGAAGAATTTGAGCTGTGAAAAGCTAGATTTCAGAACCTGTTTCTGTTTGCAAAGATCCATTATCCCCCGAATCTTCTGATGCTTCTTCGGGTCATTTCTTGCTCCACTCTTCCTCCCCATAAGACCTCGCATATCTTCAAGAACATGCCTCCATACATCTAAACCTATCTTGCACGAAACTAGCCCAAGCGAAAAGGAAATTGAAACCAGGTTAACCAAAGGAAATCTCCGATTTTCCAAGAGAAGAATAGATTATTAGCCAAGAGGAGAAAGCTTACAGGGGAAAGGAATCCAAGGCAAGACTCCGAGGAGGGTAACCGAACATCCAGCCTCGATCACACAGTCAAGTGCCCATTGAAGAGGCTCCATGGAGAACTCCTTCAATGCATCCATAACAATCACCACATGTTTGCAACTACCCCTGGAGCCAGGTGATTCCCTCGGTATCAAGACTTCGGCTAAAGGATGAGATCTGGAATGGAGTGATCTTCCTTCTCTCATCATTGTCCTGGAAGCAGTAACATTCATTCCCAAGAAAAATGGAAACTTGATAATGCTACAGAGCTACCCCACTTCCATAGCCAATAACAACTAACTAAAGATAATTTGGCAGCCGGAAAGTGGAGGCTGCAATGGAAAGGCAATTCCTGTCTGTCATAGGAAATATCAAAAGAGTAAACAAAAATGCCAGCGGCAATTACAATGCTTTGAGCAGCATATTTAAGCATCATATACCAGACAACCGCCGAGGAAAGACAAGCTCAGTTGACAATCACAATATTACAACGCAAAAGTGAGTCATTGGAGCAGGAGAGATAAGTTCATCCCAATGACAATATACTTACAAAACCAACACTGTCCGCCGCATCACAAAACGGTTGAAACAAGGAAAACCCAAATAAGCAAGAAAGAAGACAACTTCAAATATTCGAATTTAAGGTATTACATTCGGAACTACATATAACAAAATGGTACATACAAATTCATAATCTTCAAACCTAATCCAAACGCATATTATAGACACAAATGAATCAAGTAGGCTCTAGAAACACACAGTAGTGATAATAATGAACATTCACCAACACTGGAAGATAAGGTGGTTCAGTGTCATAAAGAAGCCTGTCTATTATTTTGATGAGATGTGATCAGTGCAAGAAAGTAGGCGGCTTCCATAGAACAAACGTTACAGAGAGCTTCAAGAGTCTTGGCTAGGATTGGCTGCTGATGGGTTGAATACAACCTGCTCGCCACAAGAGAGGAACTCATGAGGCCCTGCTTCCTCCCTGCCTACACCCATCAAGTCGAGATAGTAAAGGTAATGGGAGATGACGTTGTTCATGGGATCAATATCGCCCTGGCCACAGACATTGTCACCATAGAGAATGTTCATTGTTGTACCGAACCCAGGAATGCGCTTGGACAGGGTATCGTTCTTCGTGGGCTTCCAGTCGCCAACAAAGACCTCATGGGCCGAAGGCTGCGACTTCTTCGCTGGTGTCATCCACATCCAAATGGCAGCCTGGAAAGCCAAGGTAGCATTTTGCTCTAAGTACTCGGGGTGGTTCAACAAATCAGCCTTGATACCTTTTCCAACTTTGCCATAGTTATAGTTCCTGTGGAGCCAAAATCGGAATAAAGATCAGCAGGAGCAGTGACTAATGGTGTTATTTAAAAAGTTCTACACTTTATACGGGTACTCTCATTTTCAAGCGAGAATAAGAGAGAAAAGACCAATAAGAATCCATAGATGTTGAGAAATATGGTTCATTTACATACACGAATACAATTCTCGGAAATCATGATTGGTCGCATCAAGTCTCTTCTTTTTTATTATCATTCACAGCTGCAGCTAGCTGAAGTAGAGTTCAAATAGGTTTTCTCAACACTCTGTGACTGCACTACATCTCTGCTAGGATTACTCAGTTCAACGAAAACAGGAGACCAGCAATAACCAATCAGAGAGGGGAGATAGGTGGTAACCAGCAATATTTACCAGTAAATAGGAATGGCGCCACGACCATAGTAATCAGCTCCAGGGGTACAAGGGTAGGTGTATTTGAAGTAATCGTCACAATACGACTGCTGAGGGCTCATTTCCTTATTATAGCATAGACCCCAAGCTAACGGCCCTCCAGTCGCCACTCCATAACCACCTGAAGAATATCATCAACAACATTGCAGAACTTTATTAGCTTTGAATCTCATCTCATCTCATCTCATCCATGGCCAATTCTCACAATTCCCACTATAACAAGATTCACAGCCACCATTCCGATTCCAATTATAGAAAACTCAACATTGTGACCCCCTTTAATCCTCGATTTCAACCCTCAATTCAGCACAAACAAAACAAACAACAATGAATCCGAATCTAGAGTTGGTTGACTCACAAGTGGTTTTGCTGCCGACATGGGCGAGAAAAGCGGCGAGCTCCTTCATCTGCATCAGCTTCCCGCCGGTGGTGCAGAAACCGTCCGGCTGGAAGAGAGAGGCAGCGAGGATGAACGACCGGTACTCCCAAAACCCGACGGCGTGAGCGACGGGGGTGTTCCTCTTGGAGAAGAGATTCTCGAACTGGTAGGTCTGGAAGAAATCGGAGATCGTCTCGTTGCAGCAGTAAACGGAAGGCGTCTTGCATTCCCAGCCTTTGGTACAGTACTTCTTCCCCTTCACCTTCTTCACCACCACCGCCGGCTCCGAGTCGTCGCCGCGGACCACCGCCGCCAAACCCACCACGCAGAGCATCAGCAGCAGCAAGACCGCCGCAACGCTCCGATTGGTAGCCGCCATGGTCAATCGTCGTCTTCGGAAAGTCAGAAGACGGGGGAAATGCGGCAATGGATCTGAAGAGACGAATTCCAAAATCTCTTTCTCTGGTACGGAAAATGGAAGGAGAAGATGGGAAAGGAGGAGATTAAGGGAGTGGCGAAGGAGTGTTAGATCGGTGGTCGTTTTCCAGCCTAAGGCAATGGCGCTTTTTTTTTTTGGAGAGAAAATGTTTGGTGAAGATCGACGGTGGAGATTGTGCCGCGCAAATTGATTGACGGTGGAGATCAGGTGGGCAAAAACAGCCTGGAAACTGCAAGAATCTGTTATGGTTCCGGTTCGGACTTCGGACCCGCCCACTCGATTTCCCACCGACAGCTATATTTCCTGCGAGAGACGAGTATTAAACCGGCGAACCGGTTGTTTGGCTGGTGAGTGGGTCACAATCGTAAGACCGAATTATTTTGGGGAAAAATCCAAAAGTACCACTGTTTAAAAAAAAATTCCAAAAATACCACTCAATCTCAAAAAATTCCAAAAATACCACCATTTTTCAAAAACCGCCACCCCACCCAGCGGTTTGGTCGAAAACCGCTTGTCGGGGGCGCGGTTTTGGACCAAACCGCGGGCCTAGGGGGCGGTTATAAAAAAAAAAAATTTGGACCAAAACCGCTGGGTGGGGTGGCGGTTTGGCCCAAAACCGCCACTCCAACCAGCGGTTTGATCCAAAAATTCGGTCGAAACTTCAAACGAACGTAACTTTGCACTCGGGTATCCGATCGTAGCGATTCTTTTTTTCATTTCGCATAACTTTTCAAGATCTACAACTTTTACTAGAATGAAATTTTCAAAACAGGAACTATTTGTGGATATACGGGACCTTGAGAATAACTTTACCTTTACTTTTCAGAAATCCATGTGCATTTTGAAATTATGATTATATTAAAAGTTGTAGATCTTGAAAAGTTATGCGGAATAAAAAAAAAATTCATGACATTCGGATTTTGGAGCACAAAGTTATGGCCGCCCAAAGTTTGACGAAATAAAAAAAAATGCCGTTCGGGGTGGCAAATGACGTTTTTTCGAGACGAAGACGGAACCCGACTGTTTGAGACTTGCAAGATCTCAAAAAGTGATTCGGATTCAAAAAATGGAGGCCGCAAACTTTTTGAGATCTTGCAAGCCGCAAACCGCCGGGTCTCGCCTTTCGTCAAACTTTGGGCGGCCATAACTTTGTGCTCCAAACTCCGAATGTTATGAACTTTTTTTTGATTCCGCATAACTTTTCAAGATCTACAACTTTTAATATAATCATAATTTCAAAATGTACATGGATTTCTGAAAAGTAAAGGTAAAGTTATTCTCAAGGTCCCGTATATCCACAAATAGTTCCTGTTTTGAAAATTTCATCCTAGTAAAAGCTGTAGATCTTGAAAAGTTAAGCGAAATGAAAAAAAAAATCGCTACGATCGGATACCCGAGTGCAAAGTTAAGTTCGTTTGAAGTTTCGACCGAACTTTTGGACCAAACCGCTGGTTGGGGTGGCGGTTTTGGGCCAAACCGCCACCCAACCCAGCGGTTTTGGTCCAATTTTTTTTTTTTTTATAACCGCCCCCTAGGCCCGCGGTTTGGTCCAAAACCGCGCCCCCGACAAGCGGTTTTCGACCAAACCGCTGGGTGGGGTGGCGGTTTTTGAAAAAGGGTGGTATTTTTGGAATTTTTTGGGGTTGGGTGGTATTTTTGGAAATTTTTTTCTAAACAGTGGTACTTTTGGATTTTTTCCATCATTTTGAGTTTTGGTTGGAATGGAAGCGATCCAATTTTGGTGTGTTCGATTCAATTTGATTTATTTACTTCTTATTTTTTGTATAATGAAAATCGGAAGGTTTTGAGATTTAGGAATGTGAATCAAATAAACCTTGTATCGATCTTACTTGAGGAGTTGAGCCCATTCAACCAATTTTATTTAGGCATGAACTGAACCATTACCTACTCTTTCTGGATGATCAGGACGATAATTGCTTGGGAATTGGTGAAAGGGTAATGTATTGCTACCCGAATTTGTTCAAATCTTACTTTTGATGGATGTGTTGTGCGAGTGTTAGTCACTCGTTCAATGTGTCGACTGACACGACAATTTCCAACGTTTGTCGAGAGGTTTCTTCTCAATGTCGATACTTTCTTCTGGGCTTTGGAAGGGAGTAGATATGTAGAATAGGGTAATGCTCTATAGTTTCCTAAAACGTCTCACATATGGAGTGTGTCTGGTGAGATGAGACTATAGGTCAGTTAAGATGCAAGAAGATGGACTTACCATGGGGCATGGGCATATGAAAGAACACCATCAGTGATACTACGCTCAAGAGCATTCACTACCACATTGGTAGATGTTGAAGCCAGGGAGCGTACGCCAAGATTGACTATCCTTTATGTGCTTTTTGTAACTAAGAACGCCTCAGACAGCTCAAATCAACACAGGGGCTGCTAGACCCTTTAGTTATCTGACGATCAAGTCGAGAGTGTGCTTTTAGAGAAAAAAAGGTGAAGTGAAGAGTTTTGTTGTCTTTGTTGTTATGCTTCCTTATTATTCTGTTTACACCAAAATATTTTCCCCTAAAATACCACTTGAGTGATTCTGGACAATATGAGCCCCTTTAAATGGTTTGGACCATGCACAGTGGACTGTCTAATTGGACCGTGTAATTGGTGCATAATTGTTGGGAGTAAGCTGACCATATTCATAATTTGGTCACCATATGTCCAGATACCATCCAACACCAAATTGAACGGTATCATCCTATACAATGGATATCATTCAACTTCTTAATGAATGGTGATCGTTCCATGTCATGGATACCATCCAACCCCAAAGTGGGTGATGACCATCACACATCACAGTCACAGATATCATCCAACCCCTAAGTAGATGATACCATCTCGTATTCATGGATGTCATCCAATCTAAGTGGATAGTACGATCCCATATTCATAGACACCATCCAAAAGTACTAACTGGATGGTATCCACGGTGAAGAATGGTTACTATCCAATCTAACATGACAACATGTTGGATGACTACTATGCCACGATATGATGTGCCCATAGACTTCCACTGACCAGACCTGACTAGCCTAGATACTAGAGAGCTACTTTTCGAGCGGGGGAGAGAGAGAGTTGTTTGACGACTCTGGGCAACAAAACTTTGAAGCAACCTTGTGGAGCAAAAGAGACAATCACAATCCAACACACAAACAACTTGTCTCAACTGTTAATTGTGTGTGTGTGTGTTTTTTAGTGTGTGGAGTTCTCGTTCATAATCGTAGTCGTAGTCGCAGAGCTTCCACGGAATTAATCTCGAATAGGGTAAACAATAAAGCAGGTTCTTTTGCGATTTGCGAAGCTTCCCCACAGGCCACAAGACCTTTTCTGCACAGTAAACGTATTAAATTACGTCGTCACTGTCACAGTTCTTGTCGAAGCAGTTCGTCTCCATTGTTATTACAACTAAATGCGAGCAAATACACAGCTGCTTGTTACTGGTTAGGTGGTTCACTATCGGCCAAGCAATAGGGACCGACCATCCAATTTTCACTAAAAACTTGATTAACCAATCAGAACAGAGAGTCGACCACGTTTTATCCGACCTTTAGCAGACCAGCAGTATTCATGTGGTGAAGACTAAAGAACAAAACAACAAAAAAAAAAAAAAAGTTGGATCGATTATGGTTGCTTCTGATATTTGTGTATAATACTTACCTGGTCGAGGATCGATGGCGGCGTCGCAGCGGTCGGTGGCCACAGCCATGGGAAGAAGAAGAAGAAAGAAAGAATATCGTCGCTAGCTGTTGGATTGCAAGTGGGTTGCCGGTAGGGTAGGGAAAAGTAACCATGATCGTGGATATCTGTTCGAATCTGATTTAGTTGGGTAAGGTAAAATTTGAATTTTTATGACTTTTAATGAGTACGAGTAAAATTCGAACTCGAGTAAAGTGGGGTGATGGGTTGACATGATTTTCACACTGTCCAACCCGTAACCCCCGCCCGATTATACGGATCAATACGTATATTGCTCGGACATTATCATTAATTTTCTTTGTGCTGGTAATTAATTGTTGTAATTTTTCACTTATTTAATGTCTGTATACGTGTAATTGTTAACATGTTCGTCGAAGTTATAAACATAAGGTTCAGGCTAGCGTACGCCCGAGCGTACGTTAGACTACCGTACGCCCGTTTGAGTTTTGCTATTTAGATCAAGAATTAACCGGAGTTTTGGACATGATACTATACCCTAACCACTAATGGATAAACCTCAGTCCCTAGTTTTCTAACCCAAATCATGAGATTCGTTTAATCTTAAAATGAAAATCAACAATAATTTCGACGAATCAGAACCGTTGGTTTTTATTTCAAGATTCAATGAATATTATTATTTGGGTTAGTGAATTGCGGACTGGGGTTCACCCGTTAGGGGTTAGGGTATAGTATCGTGCCCTAAACTCCGGTTAATTTATTGTCTAAATAGCAAAACTCAACGGGCGTACGGTAGGCTAGGGTACGTCCGGGGGTACACTAGCCTTTGCCATAAACATAAATTGTTATCGATGTAGAGTGAACGAGGGATTAGAGTGAACGAGGAGTTACATCTATTGTAGTTTCTCGTGATTGAGCTTAGGTTTTTGGAGAGGAGGGCGATTGATGTGTATTGTGTAACTTCCCACATTTTGGTCACTTTTTAATATATGGAAGTTTTGTTCACGTAGCTCCATCGTTGGCTGGAAGGTTGTATGCCAAGCCTTCATAATAATGTCGCTATCTTCAAAATCGACTGACGATAGTAGATGTTGTTCTATACCATCAGGTTCGTTCGTTTTTTTTTTTTTTAACATTTGCTTTACATGGATTCTTCTTCATTCTTTTTAACATTTGCTTTTAGCATGGAGAAAATGAAGAAGCGTTTTGTCTGCATAAAATTAACCGTCACATGACTTAACTATGTTAACAAGCGAGAACAAAAACTCAGTTTTAGTGGTACAAAACAATCACTTGTCTTCAACCAGAATGCTCAAACTTAGAATTTCTTAAATAACAATTTTAATTATAGAAAGAAAATTTAATGATTGTTGGGTGTTGGCCCATACAAACACACTTGACACCGATAATTTTATAATAATTCCCTAAGAAAAAGATAGTATTATAATAATTAAGTCTAATTCTTTTTTTGCCAAAACAATAATTAAAGTCTAATCACTATCAATAAACTACAAGGCCCAAAGTGGACAAGAAGGCCCGTGTATTTTTTTCCTGATAGGGACAGGAAGGCCCATCGACCACCGAACCAATCGTCCCATACTTGTATTACTTTTTAGTTTTTACAGTCAATTATGTCCCTTTTTCCAGGAAAAAATCACAAAGTACACTAGTTTTTAAAAAAAATTCCCAAAATACATAAGTTATAAAAAAAATTCCAAAAGTACACATGTTTGAGCATCACCGTTTTAGACAAAAACGGTGATGGTCATCACCGCTTTTGACCAAGACGGTGAATACTTCACCGTTTCAAACTAAAACGGTGAAGGGTTCACCGCATTTGTTAAGAACGGTGAATACTTCACCGTTTTAAACAAAAACGGTGAAGTCTTCATTTGAATTCCAAGTATTTTGATAACTCTAAATGGTTCTCCTCGTCGATACGATCGCGCTGCCGAAAACGGCTCGTTATTTCGACCTCAAACGAATAAGATACGCGCGTTTTAGTTTTTAGTACGCAAAAGTTACTTTAACGACATGTGCAGCTTTGAACTCACTTATCTCACTCGTTTGGACTCGGAATTGAGATCTGTAAAATTCTATGTGATCGTGGTTGATTTTCCCAACTTTTTTGTGTTGAGGGAAGATAATGATTCTTGATAAAATGATCCAGAATATTCATTCGACAACTTAAGTGCGTAGGATAGTTTTTAGACCATGCAAACTCAAATAACAACACCTAAAAATCACAAAAACAACATTGATAGTTCACTACAATGATAAAACGATAAATTCACTCATTTGCTTCATTTTGGCCCCCATCTCCACCTCTTCCTCCTCGTCCTCCACGAGTTTGTTGTTGCGGATGTTGGAATTGAGAGAACCATATGTAACAACATCATGGGTTCTCTCAATTCCAACATCCGCAACAACAAACTCCGAACCCCCCGATCATTCGTCAAGCTACCGGTCCAACTCAGCCACCACCACCACCATATGTAACCCCAGTTGGGGCTCGGGTCAAGAGAAATCCGCGATCAGCCGTTGAGCGAGCCCGCCAAGAAGCAGTGGCGGAGGGGGGAAGAAGAGGTCGAGGACGTCGTGGAGGACGAGGAGGAAGAGGTGGAGATAGGGGCCAAAATGAAGCAAATGAGTGAATTTATCATTTTATCATTGTAGTGAACTATCAATGTTGTTTTTGTGATTTTTAGGTGTTGTTATTTGAGTTTGCATTGTCTAAAAACTATCCTACGCACTTAAGTTGTCGAATGAATATTCTGGATCATTTTATCAGGAATCATTATCTTCCCTCAACACAAAAAGGTTGGGAAAATCAACCACGATCACATAGAATTTTACAGATCTCAATTCCGAGTCCAAACGAGTGAGATAAGTGAGTTCAAAGCTGCACATGTCGTTAAAGTAACTTTTGCGTACTAAAAACTAAAACGCGCGTATCTTATTCGTTTGAGGTCGAAATGACGAGCCGTTTTCGGCAGCGCGATCGTATCGACGAGGAGAACCATTTAGAGTTATCAAAATACTTGGAATTCAAATGAAGGCTTCACCGTTTTTGTTTAAAACGGTGAAGTATTCACCGTTCTTAACAAACGCGGTGAACCCTTCACCGTTTTAGTTTGAAACGGTGAAGTATTCACCGTCTTGGTCAAAAGCGGTGATGACCTTCACCGTTTTTGTCTAAAACGGTGATGCTCAAACATGTGTACTTTTGGAATTTTTTTTATAACTTATGTATTTTGGGAAATTTTTTTAAAAACTAGTATACTTTGGGATTTTTTCCCTTTTTCCATTTCTACCCATCCATAATTTTCCTTTTTATATGAGATCGCTTTCCATCTTTTATATATTATAATCTAATTAATCATTGAAAGTTAACTAGATTTTTAATAATAATGAATTGTCCATAATCTTCCTTCTCTATTTTCGGGATCGTTTCATTCCTCTGAAAGAGGATTAACCGAGATAAGCGTATTGATTAATGATTGATTAGTTGAATTAACATTTAACTATAACTAATCTCCCGTAAAAAAACTGTAATCCGGATAAAATAAAACCCCACAAATCCCACTAAATAAAACAGGGAAAAAACCTAATTCTTATCCATAATTCGAAAAACAAGGGGGAAAAAATCATTACACTGCAAATCCTTATCCTATTCCTGTCCAATTCATCACTTATTTAAATATAAAAATTAAGTACTTAAATATTATTCAATATCTTCCCCCAATCGCAACCTCCAAATCCCCAAACCAGAACAGAAAAAAAAGGGGAAAACAAAAAAGGCTCCGTCTTTATTATACCGAAAAAACCACGCCAAGGAAAATTCCCCTTTTTAGAATCCGATTTCCGCTCCCACCGGTGGCCGTCAATCCATTCCCCCTCTTTACTGAATCATCATCTCCTCCGGCGGATTGGATCCAATTCGCTTTTCTTTTCACTTCGCCTGCGGCGGATTCTCTCTTTGGTTGTTGTTGTTGTGTGACTTGGTTGCGGGTGATCGGGGAAATTCGCGAGGGTTTGCGGGAGATTTGAGATTGGGGGATATGCAGGTGGAGAAGGTCGGGAGGGATCCTTCCTGTTCCATGGGGGTGGATTGTTTCATGAGCATAGCCAGGGCGTTCGGTACGTCCTGTTTCACCGATGAAGGTTCTCGCGGCGGCGGCGGCGGCGGGCTGTCGCGGCAATCTTCCGGGAGTAGCGCGGAAGCGGCGAGGCGGAGGAAGAAGAGGCAGATGATGATGAAGAGGAGCGATTCGAAGCTGGAGATATGGTTGCACAGGGTCCCTGGGAGGTTGTTCTTGAATAGCTCGTCGGAATTCGCCTCTCTGTTTACTAAAGCTGGGAAGAAAGGAGTCAATCAGGATGCCATGGTTTTCTGGGAGGTCAGCTTGCCTTCCATTTCTCTAAAAAAAATTTCCTCCAGTACTTATCAATCTTCTACCTGGGTATTTCTTTGGGATTCCCAAATGTAATCGCAGATGCTGATTGGATGCTGGTAGCCACGGGTAGACGTTTGGATATTGTTTTTTTTTGGTTTTCCCTTGATTTACCTTTCTATTTGGTAGAATGATGATTGGACCACTTGCTCTCGCTGCAATTTTTACATGATCTCTGTCTGTTTTGATATTATTTAGCATAGATCGCTAAAGGTTTCAACTTTCAGATCAGCAACTTTTCCCTTGTTATGGATCAACTGTTAATTATGCAGTAGATGCTAGTTCTTGGCCATATCACGGTGGGAACAGTTGAAAATAGGCAGAATTCCTTGTAAATGAAACCAACTAGAAGCTTATTATTGACATGGAAGATTGACATCTTATTATTGACATTTGAGAGGCTTTTCATGGGCAACTCTGATTAGCATGATGCAGATCACCTATTTCTTGTGCATTGATATGGCTTAGTTGTAAATTTTCTACTTTGTTTTGTTTTCAGGAGCTACAGTTTGTCATTTCTGTTTTGGCGGTGGCGTGTAATGATCTTGCTTACATGCTTCCTTTCCTTCTTCTTGCATCTGCTTTATTTGCATAGCATGTAAATTTGTACTCGGTGCCTCACTGGGAAGGAAGTTTGTCACATCCCTTCCTCACGAGGAAACTTTTTCTCATCATTCCTAGACCCAATGGGTTGTGGAATGGATTGTGGCCACAGTTATTATATAGCCTGGCTTGGTTCTAGACTACTTAATTCTGTTTATACAGTGTGAAAAAGATGCCGAGAAAGTTACTGAGCTCTTGCCTGTACGGTGTATTTGGTGATATGGATACTTGAGCTTATTAGGATCTCTACTTTCTTTAATTTTCCTCTGGTGATTGATTGACTTCATTGAGTATATTTACTAATTTACCTTCTGAACAATGTCAGTCTTGAGTTAGTCTCTTAAATTTTATGTTGGATGTATCTTCATTTTCAGAATTTCGGCCCAAAGGAAGACACAATGTTTTGTGGTATTTTTGATGGCCATGGTCCAAGTGGTCATCTTGTTGCGAAGAAAGTGAGGGACTCTTTGCCTTTAAAACTGAGAGCACAATGGGAACTAGATTGTACCAGCGGTGAGCTTGGCCTCATGAGTGGTAATACTGTTGGAAGAACTGCATTAGCAGAGTGCTCACTCAATTCATTTCAATCAGAATCACCAACGGGAAACTTAGATAATGGAAAAAAAGACGTGCAGACCGACATTTTTTTGACATTTAAAGACTCATTTTTGAAGGCCTTCAAGGCTATGGACAAGGAACTGCAGTTGCATCCTTATATTGATTGCTACTGCAGTGGGACAACAGCAGTAACAGTGATCAAGCAGGTAGTAATCAACACACATCTCCCTCTATCCTTTTTCTATATTCACAGATTTATCTTCCCGTTGGTATGAATATGACCCTCTCATCTGCTATCGTAGGGGCAGGATCTTATTATTGGCAACGTTGGAGACTCCAGAGCTGTGTTGGGTACAAGAGATAAAAACAACTCCCTCTTTGCAGTTCAGTTGACTGAAGATCTCAAACCTTCTCTTCCAAGTATGTTTCGCATTCCTTTACTTCCAAGTAAATAGTAAAAGTGGAAGCGTGTGAAAAATTCTTGAAAAGAAGAATGATTTTGAAATGATTAGGTGGTCCCACAATGTGTTGACTTTTATTTGGGTAGGTTATTGTCCTTTTTCTGCAATTTAGTTACATGGCCCGTTCAAATATTAAATGTTTGTAAGGAAGGACATGAATATCAAATTTGGAGTGCTGCTTTATCATTCAGGAGAAGCAGAGAGGATCCGATCATGCAAGGGAAGGGTGTTTGCTCTTCCAAGCGAACCGGATGTTGCTAGAATCTGGCTTCCAAACAACAACTCACCTGGTCTGGCTATGGCCCGTGCTTTTGGTGATTTCTGCCTGAAGGACTTCGGCTTGATTGCGGTTCCTGAGATTTCACACCATCATATCACGGATAACGATGAGTTTGTTGTGCTGGCTACTGATGGTGTATGGGATGTTTTGACAAATGATGAAGTTGTGGGGATAGTGGGTTCGGTCCCACCATCGAGTGCAGCTCAAACCTTGGTTGACTTAGCTCATCGAGCTTGGAGGACTAAGTATCCCACGTCAAAAACAGATGATTGTGCTGTCGTCTGCCTCTTCCTTGGCTCATCCAGTGCCGAGAAGGTATCGACATCGATGGATTGATTAAATACATCCTCTCTCATGTTTAAATATGATGATCATCAATATGCTAGAAATTGTGGATATGAGTTGCCACCTTTTTGAGGCGCTTCCTGAATTTTTTCATTTGTTTGTGGTATCTCTGGACATTTTGTCCAGAGGTATTTCCACCTTGTACTGTAAATAAGTTTCTCTCATCTTCTAGCCAAAAGAAGAAAGGAAAACAAAAGAGAATATGGAGGTAAAAGGGTTTTTGGGGGTGTTGAGTTTCTGATGGAAGGAGGGTTCCATCTATTTCAGTAAATTTTTTTGGTCAGTCGGGTAGGTGGCAAATCAGTCTAAATCCTTTTTTGTTTTGCTAGGACTTGTAGTAGATTTTGGGAGGGTAATAAGTGTTGTATAATCTATGAAGTCCGTCGCTGTCGTCGGTCTCTTTGTTGTGAAGGACTGATGAATGAATGAATGAAGTTGTGGATCTGGGGGGTGGGGGGTGGGGGAAATCTGTAGATTTTGATTGTGGCCTCTGCTTATTAGTTTGGAGGTTCTCCTCGGCTGTCTTTGTCGTCCTTGTCGAAGATTTGTGCAGATTGCAACCATGGCTGCTGTCTCTTCTTCTGCAAGTTGCCATGTTATGGTTCCCCATTATGATGTTGACATTGTAGTAACTATTTTGTTACAGCGAGTGGACTTACACATTTTAAATGAGCATTTTCTTCTTTTTTCTTACAGAAGTTTCGACATTTGTTTCATTATAACCCGTATTTTTGCATCAGACAGCTTTAGCTTCAGTTAGTCGCTACTGCTTATGCTTAAGAATCTGGCTGCTACACTGAAGTGGGGATGATCAGCATCTCCAGATGGCGCTATCAGATTGTAAGTCGCTGGATTAGGGGCAGCGACATTTGAAATTGTACCATCGTGTCGATCCAAATGTGTTGAAGGCGATCCAAAGGTTTCGAAACTTTGAACAATCAGCTCAGCAATTGGGGATGGATAGGGTTTATAGATACAACTAGATGCTGCAGCCAAACTCTTGAACAAAACAGAGCTAAAAAAAGCCAGAAGGAAAAAGCTGGCATAAAAAGCCAAAATTATGAATCACTGGGAGCTCTTAATGGTCTCGTAATGTAATCCACAGCTAATGCGTAAGCACCACGGTATAGAATGGAAACAAACGGCGAGATGTAAGCCATGACTGCTGCTGCTGCTGCTGCTCGCAAGAAAGGTAAACGGTGCATTGGTCTTGGGGAAATCTGCAGATCATGATCCATATCTTGGTCGTGGCTTCCACTTTCATGCTGTCCTTTCACTGTTCGGTTTGGAGTTCTTGTGCAGATTGCAAGCCATGGCTGCTGCTGCTGATCATGTTCCGATTCTGCGGTTACTATAGTACAATCCTGGCTGCGATCGTGATGTTCGTTGGGATTAGGAAAGCTTAACGTGATTCGTGATTGTTGAATCGCGTGTTTTACGTCTCGTGACTGGTAAATGGATTTGCATTCGACGACAGTAAGATACGAAACGAGCGATCCAATGGTGCGTAGCCCCTCGATAGGGTTGAGAGACCATAGCTTAGGCTGATTCTATTTTAGGAACGGGGGGATATACGTCATTACTTGGATGAAAGTGGCCTACACATGGGCGGCTGTCTGTCAGATACTAAATCCACTCCCAGTTTATGTTCTGAAGAGCATTACAAGCACAAGCATGTGGTGTATGACAGAAGAAGAGAGCAGCCTGCCCACATCATAAAGCTAGCGTTTTTGGCTTTGGATCTCTGACCTGCCAACCCAAAAACACAAGCCACCATGCCTGCAATTGTTTTGTTGGTTTTATGTCAGGGATAGAAAATGGCAGCGGGCTGCTCCTGACTCATACCATGTGAAAGGGAATCAGGTTACGGTTCTCGTGCACATTGCGGTTAGGACATCGTAGCGAAATTTAGTGATTGGCGAATCACAGAATTTGCGATTGAACAACAATTGACGCGTTATGACTATAGGTGATTTGTTGGAGGGTGGCTTGATGTCACTGTACATGACATAATACAACAAAACCGATCTTCCTTGTGTTTCGAAGCGATCAGCTGGCTGCATTTAGTTTCAGTTTCATTTCTAAAAGAGAGTCGAGGAAAGGGAAGTTCATGGTGGATCCTAGATCAGGATTCAAATACAAGTCAAACGATGATATTTGTACTAACATTTCCCTGAATCGACCGTTAAAGGAGCCAAATTGAAGCACTGTATATGGATCGGGCATACCGAAGTTCCCTGTATGCAGAATGCCAAGGCAAAGATGCAGATGAGGGGAAGGCAAAAAGGAAATCTATTTATCTATCAAGCATCAACCAGTTACATAAAAATGATCTGATATCGTGTTCATCAGAGTAACCTCCTAGGCCAATGTCCATTATCAAAAAACCTCCTAGGCCAATGTGATCAAACCTGAGTCTATTTACACCAATTACCAAGCCTAGCTGTAGTAAGCTCTCTCTATAAAAGCTCCCCCCCACAACTCGCTATGGACGAGCAAAATATTTACCCAAAGCCAAGGTGTGGGAGTAAAACACTATCTTCTACTTCTACCAATCATCTACTCATCATCTCCTTTTCAGTAGAAAGTTTTTTTCTTGATCTTGCGTTCTGTTTTACCAGTACTGTTCCGTGTATGTCGCGGCAGTAGTAAAGGAAAATCGCTATAGCAGCAGCAATGCACTTAGCAACAAGAGTACTACGGCCCATTCCGCGCTGAATCTGGATGCAGAGGATGGAATGGTGTGGGATCCCACTAAATGTACTGTTCCGGTCTTCTCATCCTGCACGGTAATGGTCGATGAGCCTGAAACCAACCACAGAACACAAGGAATAAGTAACACTGAGACTGAATAGCACAAGCAAACTAAGTATTGCAGTTCAACTAGGACTTGACCCTAAAAAAGTCAAATAAGGTTGGAGAAAATGCTGCTTTGATTACATGAAAAAAGGAAGATATTGATTGAACACCATAGAGAAGATGTGAAAATGAGATTGTGTAGTTCTAATCTCATAAAAGTCAAACAACTGAAAGATGAGGCATCTGATGGCTTAAAGACTCACAGTTATACTCTGTCCATCCAATGGCTTGCTTTTCGAGATCGTACAACACCAATTTATTTGAGAGTACTAAATCTGCAAGTACATGAATGATAAATAGTCAGAAGGGCCGCACCCAATAGAAAAAAACCATGGTTTGGAAAAGAAACGTGCAGCTGATACGTAAACGAGTAAACACATCAACAGCTAATCTTTATGCAAGTCATGCACATGACGACAGTTACAGTCCACTAATAACGAAATGAGTAGATGCTGTTATTATACCTCCCAACAAAGTCATGTTCCTTCTATCCCTTGATTGCAGTCCACTGTTTTGCCAACCAAGACACCAGTAGCCCTCCTGCAAATATTAGATTAGTATAACAAACTTGCTTTTGTTAATCACGTGGCGTTCAGCAATTCCAGAAGATGGGGCATTCACAATGATCATGAATAAAATAGCAGCGAAGTGGATACTATAGAAACAAGACCAAGTCGCCTCTACAGCTCGAAAGAAGTTTAACATCTGACAAGCATATTATAGGAGATGGTCTGATGGAAATATTATTGTCTAGCCACTCATAGCCATACGTCAAGGTTATGATTCTAGTACCATTAGCTTGTTGGAGAATAATTTCAGAAACTAGCTTATGCTTATCAAATATGTTGCACGAACCATAGAGAACTCACTACTGAACTGAGAGCCTGGTCATGGTTTACAGGTTATATTTCAAGGATTATGCCATTTTCACAGAAGCCCTGTCCCATTATGGAGTTTGCTTGTCAGCCAGAAACTTTTGGGTGAAGCTATACAACAACAGCGATTCTATAAGTGGCAGAAAAGAATTGAAGCAAAATATCCACATAATCAAGGATCAAACCAGTTAGTTGAGTATTTTGACTGGGAAATGAAAAAGAACCAGAAACTACAGAGTGGTATACTTACAAAAGGGAACAGATATTCGTGTGGATACACCCTCAGTAAGAGTGAATTTTCAAAATGGAAAGTCACGTTTGGAAATGCATCATCCAGACTGCAATGGAAAATGAAACAAACATTGAGGTAAATTTTAGCAAAGGAAAACCTAGAAAATAAAATGGTGATGTATTCAAGCTGGAAGAGAAGCTTATACTAATTGAAAAAACCTAGTTAGCAACAAATCACAAACATTTTCCCTTATTTCTTCCGTGCAGTCCATTTCCAACTCAAAGTACTAAGTACGAAGAACCAGAAATACTGTGCTCGGTTATATGTACCTTCCAGAATACTGAAAACATGTATATTCATCGTGGACAGTTTGAACCCTTAGATTAGGTTGCTCGGATATTATCTAAGAAAGAAATAAGATCAATGAGTCAGGCAAATTACACAAACTAGAACCTATGCATAGGACAAGCCTTTTTCATTCCCTTACCTTAGTTACCAAAGGCTTATAAACCATTTCTGGGAGATAAGCCAGTGTTGTACCACTATCAATGATTGCCCCCTTTTTGTCACCGGCATCAAATACCTCTGCTGGAAGGTTTAGCATATCGTGACCAACTTGAACTGCCGTCATATTGACATTGTAATGGGGCCTAAATATTTAACCATCAAGATAGAACCTCTTATATTAATTGCAATCACAGAGACCCATGGCAGCTGGAATGTAAGACGAAATCAAAGAACAAATGCCAAAAGCAACCAGACTTGAGAAGCGGCAAACAGAGATAAGTTTTGGTAAGTGGAAATATAACCACTCACTGGTCTTGTATGATCGGCGTCATATTAACTCTTGGCTCCACAACATGCCCAATAGCAAAAATACCACCCCCGTTTTCACCATCCAAGCAGTGAGCAAATATCTTTTTCACTCTTCCAGTAGCGGCCAACTGAGAAATCATTGATGAATTGGCTTTTCCAAATCCAAGTATCCCATCAAGTGCTGCTTCAGTAGATGAGCCCAGATCCCCTGATTGTCTAGCACCACATCTATCATGCACAAATCCAACCTTGTCAAAGCACATCCAGAACCAAAAAGCTAGATGACATGATCATATACTAAAAACAAGAAAGAAAGTGAACACAAAAAAAAACTTCCGAGGGAAAAAGAGACAGATAAAGAAATATTTCAGAAAAGAAGATATATAGCAGATACACGAGAGAACAGAATGAATGAAGTAAGATGCAACAATGCAAAGAAAGTCTTTAGAGACACCTATAGCTTATTGGATTCACATGAAAGAGAAAGCAGTCACATACGCATTGGACAAGCAGAAGTACAAGAAAATGGAAAAATGAACACAAGAAGTGTACAGCATATAAGCAATTATCGATTCACAAGTTAAAAACAACTAGTACTATAAACTCAAGCGAGTACTGATGAGCTAGCTAAGCTTCAGAGCACTTGAACTTCCAATTGGAGTAGATAAACAGTAATAAGCTTAGTAGCTTACCCAAATATCACGCTTCCATTTGCTGAGGCAGTTTCAAGGTCTCCAGAAACTCTGTCATACTGCACAGCATCCTTGACAAAGTAGCCTGCAGTAGAGCTCCCATCCCCATATATCTCTAAATATGGACAGGTCACGTTTGCTGTACATCCTGACAATGGGCCGCCATTAACCTCCGAGCAAAACTCTTGATCACAAGTAACCAAGGTTCCAGAAGCCGACTCATTTATATCATACAGAGTGAGATCTATCTGCCAAAGGAAAACCCCACTAACTTGAGCAGAACCCAGCAAGGAAGAAGCAAAATTAGACGGAGGAAGAGAAAGGGAGTTTCTATAGGCATACACCAAGTGAGCTTGTTTTAGGACACTCTTTGCACTGAATACAGTTGACCCACATGATATCACTTCCTGTATCCACTTGCACATAGTAATCGTTCGAAGGCGTCCCAATTCCAATCTTGGCATAGTAAAGCCTGCGGAATTCCCCACGGAAAATAGAACAGAGTTGAGAAGAGAAACGAAGAGGAAATTCAATCCTGAAATTGAGAAACGGATATAACAAATCAAATAGAATTCTACACAATTCGGAAACGCACCCGACGCCATTGGGACGGCCGGTACCACCGAGCGGAAGATCGACGCCGGCGAGAATTTGGAGCTGGCGGCGAACGTCGTGAGCTTTGAGGTCACTGAGAGTGCGCTCCATACCGGCGTACCGGTATTTGACGCTGAAAACTCCGTTGCCGGCTCCCGGGACGCCGCCAGCGACAGCAGCCAAGGTGAAGGATGCGACGAAAAGGAGTGGGAAAAGCAGAGCGAAGCAGCTCCTCCACGAAGCAGTAGTCACAGCTGGTGAAGCCACCAACGCCAACATCTGGTACAGCGCCACCGCAACCATCGTCGTCGTAGTCGCCGCCGACGCCGGTCGAGGGTGGCAGTTCCTCTTCCTCGTGGCGGTCGCCGTCCCGGAGTTTCCAATTGGAATTCCCCTTCTGCGGAATTGAGGAGGAAGATGGAGGAAATGGCAGGCGTTATTTGACGAATCGGAAGAGAGATTTAAGTTTTATTCCTTTTCTTAATTTTTTTTATTCTTGTTTTGGTGGGAAAGTGGTGGGGTCCACTGGAGCTAGGCGAGTGCCGGGGGTCACGTTGATTTTTCAACGTTGACGTGTCTGTGAGCTGGACATGTTAGGATAATCGGAGTTGGGCCGCCCGTGATCTGGCCCATTGGGCCTGTAGTTCTAAATACCCGTATTGTTTTAAGAACATTTTCCTATTTGTGATCCAATCAACGATACAATTTTTACATTGGTCATGTCCCGGAATGACAAGGGGAAAGCCCACAAGTAATCACGTGGAGATGATTTTAGGTGGCTCGTGATCAACAAGTGGTTTATGAATGATTCTACATTTGACTTGATAAAAGCTCGTTCGATTAAGAAAAAGTTCGCCTAATTTATTAACTAATCAAGGTGTATTACAGTAACTAATTATATTATTGGTGCATCACCTGCATTTTAGTGTATTCTTCTAGTGGAACTAAAGAGTGGATCCTCAACGTTGAGCTAAGTCTTGTTCAACTCGTGAGCCAACTCAATTAGGTGGCTTGTTAAGGTCAACCAGTGAACTCTCTTGTTTTTTAGTTCATGAGATGTCTCAACATTTTAATTAATTAGTGAGCCAACTCGACTATAGGCTTATGAGAAAATCAATTTATATCATATTAGTTGATTTATTAATAATTTATAGGTTTATTAAATTATATATCTCAACAAGCCACCAAACCCAGCAATTCTCGCTCGCGAGCCTCAACAAAGCACATCTAAACTTTTCGCATTCGTTAATCGAACAAATCAACCTTTTTTCCAGAATCAAACGCGAGGTTATCCCCTGTCGAATGTCATCTAGCCCCTCGTGAGCGTAACTCCAACTCATCATCAACAAGTTACTGATCGGATCCGCGTGCTCCCGCGATAAACTTTTGCACGTTACAAAACCAATCACCAATTTTAGACTCCTCCTTGGTTATGATCGCCCTCGATCACTTGACTAATGACATCTTCTTATACCATTCGTTGGACCTAATCACATCTCATGAATCGTATAGCTTGACCATACGAATCAATCTAATACATATCTTCGACCTTATCACCACCTTCACGATGTCCAACGAGCAAAATAAAACAAAAAACGGTATCCTTGGACAAATATAGAGTTAGTTAGTTAGTAGTAGAAAAAAAAAACTATAAAAATCGTAGTTTGTACGTACACCAATGTCGCCAACCTTGCTTGAAGGACGTATCCTAATAAGCCGGCCGCCGGTTTGGTCCGAAATTGAGAAACCAAGGAAAAAAAATACAAAAAGAACGAAAAGACCGAAGAATCTGAATTCCTCCCCGCCGGCAAAGTAGAACCAACGACATTTTGAGTCACTATAAAAAGTGAGCCGATCGATCGAGCAAAGGGGGAAAAGAAAAAAAAAACGTTATCCATCTTATTTACATAACAATGGCGGTTCTCATTGTGTTACTACTTCTGGCGGCCCATTTTCCGAGCGGGTCCACGGCGGCGGGCGGCCCAGACGACGTTTGCGGCCCAGACAGGCCGTATCTCCACGTGTCGGAATTCCCGGGCTACGTGGTGAACGCGCTGAATTACGTGGTGAACAATGCGGCTGCCGGCTACACGAATCCAGCGCTGGCGCAGACCACCGACGTGGAGTGCTCGACGTTCTATCCGGACGCGACACATGGCAACGCGTGGGCCATCGCCACGTGTTACGCCGGCGTGACGCCGGGTGGATGCACGGAGTGCCTGTCCGTGTTGCTGCCGCACGTGCTGGCGTGCAAGAGGAGGACCCAGGGGGGAGCTTACATTCGGGAGAGGTGCTGGCTGCGGTTCGGGCAATACATGCCCGCCACGTAGGGGACCGCGTCGTCTGGGAATCCACGAAATTCGATCTTTTAACTGTCGTCATCGCGCGCGCGAGTGTGTTGACGTGTCGTATCTGAGTACGGCGTAGTAGTTTTTTTTTTGACCTATTGATATGGTACGTGTTTGGGTTCTCGTTGATTTGACATGATTCAATATTGCTGTTCTGTGTTCGTTATTTCTGTCTGTTTGAGGATGGCGGATTGATCGGAGCAGTACTCGTTTGACTTCCGCAAATTACTGTTTGCAACTGCAATTTCGATATGATAGAAGGATCACTACCTGCAGGAGATTTCATAAGTTCGTTCTCTCTGTTGTTGTTATCCAACACAAGAAGCTTTCACACCATCTTGTAATTTTTTTTTCCACAAGGTTTTTGGTTGTTCGATGAGAATGTATGACCATTTTGTTATGTCGGTCGCGTACTCACTAGGTGCTATACAAAAGGGGAAAAAAAGGACTATCAAATAAACTAATACTCACTATATATTTTTTTTTGGTAGGAAAATACTCACTATACTAAATTATATTCACTTTCATCTAAATTCAAATACACTCATACCTAATAGAAGGCGAATTAATACTTACCGCACAGTTAAAGTCATATCTAAGTGTCATGCCAACTATCATATTCTATAAGAAGTAAAATAATGATCGTATTCAATATCTAGTCAACTCATATTCACTAATGGTAAAAACTCAATACTAGCAAATGATATCAAACCCAGAACTCAAATTGAATGTGAAAAAGAATGAAGAGACAATGCAGCGAACAAATAAGCAAAACCAAGACATGAAATCAACAAGCGTTTGTAGTCCAACGGTTAGGATAATTGCCTTCCAAGCAATAGACCCGGGTTCGACTCCCGGCAGACGCACACAAATTCATTTTCTGCAGACTTGGAACTTGAAGGATTTTTTTTTTGCCAACAGGGGGAACTTGAAGGATTTGCAGGTGGCGTTGCCTGCAACTACAAGTGCACCACACTGAATGTCTGTGAGACTGTGACAGCCTTGCTGATTACCTTGTGAACAAGTTCCTCTGCCTGTTCATCTTAGAATGTCACTTGATCCATGCAACTGTACGAATAATCTGTCTGTCTCCGATTCGATTCTCAGAGAACAGAAGCGTCGACTATTAAGAACCAACAACGAACGGCGCTACAGATCGAGCACAAGAAGCAGGCATATACAAATAGCTTACCTTAATGCCCTCAAAACGAAAACCCAGAAATGCATAAGGTGAAATACATAATAAAAAAATGACTTTGGCCATAATGAGAAGAATCTTATTGTTCACAATTTTCACAAGGCAAATAAAATTAAAATCCCCCCTCTGCCTTCCTTTTTGATCTTTTGTTCCCCTGCTATGTACAAGTTACACCATTTTTTTGGGGGGAGGGCTTGCTGAGGCAGAAGAACACACAGGGAACTTCTGGCCTGGCCCTGAATCTAAGTACCTCAGTCAAGATTAAAAAAGAAAAGGAGAGAATTAAATCAATGGAGCAGACCAAAAACTCCTCAGTCAGCAACTCAGACAGAGGCCAACCCAATAGCTCTCTCTCTCTCTCCACACCACCCCAAAAGGCAGTTTACATATACAAAAATGAGAGGGAGAGGGAGGAAAGATGCATTCTTCTTTTGCCTGAGAGAAGGCAAAAAGCAAGCACCCAATCTTTACTTTCTTTCTGTTAGCATTGCTCTTCAAAATTGGGAGAAACAGGACCAGCGACCAGAGCTCCGACCTAGCTGTCCTTGGTGGCGGCGGCCCTCTCTTTGGCACGGAAGTCCTCCAAGCTGCGGTATTCTTCCCTGAGCAACCTATCCAGTTCGGGGTCTTTCTTCAGTGGCTCTTTGTTGCTCCGGTAATGGTGGAATGCCCTGATTCAAGTAAAACTCAGGAAGGAAGTAAGCTTTCCATACTAACTAGTAACAGAAAGCTACCATGCTGAAACTACAAGAGGCAAAGAGGAATGCCACATCTACGTACCAGTACTTTTCAAGGCCGTAAAGATTGCCTCTACGGAAGAAATCAAGAGTGAGTTCTTCGAAGTCCTTGTACAAGTCCTCCGTGAACGACTTCTCCAAACCATAACTGAAAAGTGAGAACAAACCATGAGCCTCTCAACCATGTAAACTCTGGATAGTGCCTTCCTCAACTCTATCACGAGATAAACACAAGGGAATAAACTTGTTAAGCATGCATACCTGTAGAACCTGAAAAGGCACTCCATTCCATAGTTGTAACTAGCATCAGCATCTTCTATGGCAAGTTTCCGAAACTCGTTGTACATCGAAGGGACAAACATGTCTCTCAGGAAAAAAGACCAAAACCTGTATAATGTGTTCATTTCCTGCACAGGAAAGTAGTGGACCCAAAATGATTATTCCATATGAAAACTGAGGATGCAATGTTAGCAGATGACTAATATAAGTTGTTTAACAGAGTTGACTTTGCCGAGCCTCGCTGACTACTAACCCATACATTGCATCCACATACAGTGGCTTCAAGTTCGCACAACTATGGATCTTGCTAAAAGAACTAAGGGGAAAAAAGGTTTTCCCCAGGCAGACATGGATTATTCATATACCTAATCCTTTCATGCAAGTTCAGATAAATAATTCAGAGATATATACCTCACTGCAACCAATCCCCATCTTTTTCCTGTCATTCAGGCATCTTTTATGATATTTCAGGTACCTAACCATAAAAACCAAGATAAGTAAACCCTTCTATAACCCCACAAACATCCCTCACAAACTAGCATATAATAGGAAGTACAGTCTTACTTCTGTTGCTTGAAGCCATTTTCTTCCAAAAGCTGATGACTTGGATGTTGAAATGGAGGAAATGACTTTGGCGTGCAACCAACTGGTGGACTACTGCCTGAAAGATTACTGTGAGGTGAAACACTTAACATCGAGGACCTGGGCCTGCAAAATCAAAATTAATCTCTGCGTCAATATAGTATCAACCAGAAAGGATATCAAACATATATGCACCATTGTGTTTTTCTTTCCAACTACTATTGTGAAAGGCTAGGATGATGTAGCCAATGCAAATACAGCTGAAAGACCATACGATGATAAATTAACCTCACCCATGGTTCTCAGGAGGTGTAGAGCTAAAGAAAAATCCAACAGAATTACTAGGTGGGCTTTCAGATATGGCCCCAAAAGCTTTACGTCCTGAGAAGAATCTTTGTTTATGAGACAAATGTTGCTTTGATGAATGTCTATTCTGTTTCTTGATATTAATGCCACTTCGAGAGTCCTCGTGGGCATTACTTCCTGGACTTCCAGCAGCAGTCCTTGAATGTGATACTCCAGGAGAGTTAATTGCAGATCTCAAGTTTCCATCTCTAGCCTCGTAACTAGAACTATTTTTCTTCCGATTCCTACGCCTAGCTCTGAGCTCCTAGAGTAATAATAACCATGTAAAAATTAAGATGTAAGAGTCGCGAAAACCACCAGAGTGGTGAATATCAATCAACAATGAGTGGTTCATTTTATTGCATAAGAATACCTACCTGTTCATAGAAATAGAGACCATCATTTATTGCAGAAGCAATTTCATTTGAAATGGGTTCGGATTCTGTACCACCAGATTTTGATTCTCCATCTACGGTACTATTCTGTAGAAAATAGTTCCATAAATTACATAGGTGTTTATAGTCACAGCTCTATGATATAAACTAGGAACATACGAGCTACAAAAGAGAACAAGTGGGTAGAGAATAAGTCAAAACAATGCTGCATTCACATAAAGAATGTGGAGACATCCAACAGAAGACCTTCATTTCCGCTTTTTACAAAATTAGTTGTTGCCTGTGTTACCATAGTATGCAAAGAGCATTTTTTATGAGGGTGACAGTATGCTACAAATGGTTGGTGCATATGCAAAAGAGAATATAGTCACAAACAGAAGTACCTGGGTGACAATTACGAGTCTGTGAACATCCTGATCATCAACCATCATCTCGTCATCATCCTCATCCCTGGAATACAGTGTGATCATGTAAGTTAGCGAGAGAAAACAGACAGGTTAATCACTCGGATAGTAATATAATTGGCACCAATGGAACTTTTTACACCAGTTCTGTCTGATGAAATCCCAACAAGCATTATTTGCTCATCACATACTGTGGCTGGACATCATCATGCGAGATCGTCAAACTTGACAACTTAATGACCAGTCCATTACAATATAAGATGCATGAAAGCTACTGACTAAAGAAATTGTCAAAGAAGGGGGTTTTAAGGATACACCCTCCTTCCATGGGGCCAATTAGTCAATTTAGCCATCAATCACATTCATCACAATTCAGAAATAAAAGAGATGGAGTTTGATATTATTGAACAAGAAACAAGTGATACCATGAAATAACTCCTTGAATAACATGCTATTATGCAAAAATTTAACAAAAAAGATACAGAGAGCAATCAGTTAGATAAAATCACGTATAAAGCAAATTCAATACACGGCTAGGTTTGATATTGTGAAATCTGAACTGAGAAAAAAGGTATTAGCCTGAAGAGTATAAGATAATGCAAGATCATATCTGAATACCTCTTGCGTGGAGAAGGACAATCAACTTTCAGCACTTTCTGCTCAAGCTCCAGCTCTTCATCCAGCATAAATGTGTTGGCAAAATCATTCGACAGATTTCCAAGATTCTGCACATCAATATGCAATGACATCAGCATCTTTGATACTTCGTAAACACCAGAAATTGGAGGCTCACTCACATTCTCAAATTCTCGGCTCTTTGTCTCAGACTCAATAGATTTGTTAATGCCTTCTATTTGACCAGAAAGCGCAGTCTCAGGATCATTTCCATTTGCCGAATTGTTCACCACGGAGGCAGTGGCATCAAATTGGTATTCATTGTTCTCTAAAGAGGCTTCTCCTGCATTATCTTCATTAGCATTCCCTACAATCAAGCCATCAGCAGCCTGATCTTTCAACTCTTTTGACTTCACGTTTGATTTTGGAACCCATTTTGACCACCCTTCACGTTTCCGGACCTTGTCAGCCTGCCAATGTAACATATTGATGACTCAAAGACGCAGAATACGTAGAAGGTGATAAAGTGGATATCTATGTAGTTTCCATACAAATAGGCCCACATGAAGTAGCAATAGAAGCATGCAATTTCAGGAGGTCCATCATAGTAAATTGACAAAAAAAAAAAAGCACTATATATGAATTCAAACACAGAAAGATCACTGACTTGAGTCATCATACAACAATGACAAGTAGCATAAGACCCATGAACCCGGAATCAAGCAATGAAACCAGCTTCAGAATTAACAGAGTTACAAAAATCCAAACCTGTACTTCAACTGCAATAGAACTCTGTAGAGCATCAAGTATAAGTGATATATCTGTAGTCATCCTTTTCAACTGCAAATGCATCGAAAATTGGAAGGCATGAGCACAAAAAGCTTAACCATCAAGAAATGGAAATAAGTTTATGCAGCAGACAATCTATATCCAAACAGTAGCAACAGCGCATGCATGGGATGTGAATACACAAAAACAGCAGTGTCAAAATGAACCTCACCCTCTTGAAGTCGGCAATCACTGATATTGAGACCCATCCATGCTCATCCATCAAGGACACCAGAAAACTGTCAGTTTGCAGATTTTGATCACTGCAATCAAAGGGAGAATGTAGTCAGCACAGAGGAGAGATAGTTGTGCTGAGGCAACTTAAACAATCAGGTTTGGCAATGAAAGGTTCAGAAAACTAGAAATAAGATTGAATTCAGAGTGCTGAATGACATACAGCCTTGCTTATGTGGATGACATGAATCAGTTCTTGAATTTAACTGAATTCTTAATAATCTGCCCATGCAGTTGGAATTAAAAGTGAGAGTAGTTCTCCTCCATTCAAAAGGTCCAAAAGTTCATCTTTGATTGGCAGAAGTTAAAATGTAGAGCAAAATTTCAGGTTAGACGTAGACTAGAAGAAATGGGCTACATGGGTCGGGACTAATGGATGATAAGGAAAATCCAGGTCATCCTACGAAATATGATAACAATGATCAGAATTGGGACAACAAAGTTTATACATATTTTATAATCTGGGTAGGCCAATCTAGAGGGTGCTTCCTGCAAAACACCAGTACACAATTCTAGGTCCAATTTGATCAAAGCACACCCAAGAGTGGAGCTATAGGAGAGACAAGGAACTACCAAAAGAAACTACTTACCTGAAATAATACTCTACTTGTTTCACGACATGATCTTTCAAAGTTAATGGCTCAGAGGTGAGCATAAGATGCCCAGGATTCATAGGATATGGGATGAAATGTGGCGGATGAGGTCCCCTAAAGCCGCCAGATGGTACCAAAGGGATAGGGTACATGGGCGAGCCTGTAGGACACAAAACACTAGCTCAAATGAATAAGAGCAATATTTAGACTAATGATTGTAGAAGAACTAGATCGAATAAAAGGTATGAACTTGGAGCTAGTGGGGGTGCACAAAGTGATTACCAGGGAAGGCTGGACCAACCATGAAGCCTGGACCCGGAGGGAAAAAGGAGGGCCTGACCATAGGCCTTGCACCCATTCCCTGTTGCAAAGGGATATTAGTGCCTCTGGGATTAAATGCTCGTTGATGGTGCCATGTGTGACCCACATGGTCACTGGATTCTTGTACATTAGATCTCCTATTTGGAAATTTTGGTTGGTAACTATCAGAGTCCCCCTTCATTGGAGACTGAACACTATGTGGAGGAGCGAATGGTTGAATTGGAGACGTTTCAGTTCCAGGCTTCACCATATGAGGTTCAATAGTAGGAAACGGTGCAGGTGGGTAAGCAAAAGTAGGTACTGGAATAGGCGGTGGGGGCATTGCACCATGGAAGGCATTTGGCATCATTGGTTGCTGGTAAGGTAAGGGTGCTGGGAAAGGGGGTGCAGCATTTGGATTCCGCTTAGCACCTGATCTATGATGCCTGGACGATGAGTACCTATGTCCCGAATTAGGGTGCCCACTATGTGACTTTGGTTGGCCTGACGATCCCTGCAAAACAGCAAAATTTTTATCAATTCTCTCTTCTTAAAAATGCTCGCCATTGCCAAAAGCCTACAGCTTCAATCTATATCCATCAGCTAATGCCCACAAAACATTTGGATACACACATTACTGCTAACAAACTAACTGGTTTCCACATTTACTATCTGTCAATGACCCATGGCAAATGTGGATCCAAACATCACAACACCTTTCCATTAACAAAAGAACTGAAACATCACCTGTTGCTGTTGCGGTGGTTGCTGTTGAGGAGGGGAAACCACTTCAGAATTAGCCCCCGATTTGGCACTAGCGTCCAAGTTCCTGGATCGTTGCTGCGCAGCATCAGCAAGAGCAGGCCAAGACGCATCATTACCACTCATCACCGGAACATCACCCGCCGCCGTCGGCTTCTTCCAAGGCGACCTCGGCGGCGGCCCCTCACTCATCGCCGCCGGCGCCGCCTCCTCGTTCCTCCGATCATCCCCGCTCCCACCACTCGTGTCATTCTCTACCACCCCCATCCCCGCCGCCACCTCCGATAACCAACGCAAAGCACAAACTCCCCAATCACAGAGCTGCACAGAAAGCAAACACAAACATTGCATCAACCCTAAAAGCCAAAACGAAACAGATACACAAAAATGTCGAAACGGAAACGGGAAAGGGAGGAGCGCGCACCAGAGACGAACAGTGTTATTTAGGGTTTTAGGCGTGCGCTAGCTCCTGGTTAGCTCAACGGCAGAGTGCGAGAGAGTCTGTGAGCTGGTGAAGGTGAGAGAGAAAAAGAGAGATTTGGCAGTTAGCAGATTTCTGGGGAAAATTGTTTGCAGCTGATTTCTCAAGCTATTTCCAGGAAAAAGGTTCTGTTACGCTTTGTTTTATTGGCTTCTTAATACTCCCGCGGAATCACACCATAAACTCTCAACAGAATTCTTCCATTTTTCACAATCAAACCTCTCTCTCTCTCTCTCTCTCTCTCATCAAATCATCGTTTAAGGTTAAAACTCTGCCTAAAACCCTAACGTGGTCGCATGCCTGGGCCTGGACTTGGGCTTCGGCCGGCCTGGAGGGTGAAATGTTGTATGGGCTTTTATCCAGTAACGTTAAAACTCTGCCTAAACCTCTAAAGTGGTCGCCTGGGGTGGGCTTGTAATTGGGCTTAGGCCCGCCTGAATGGTGGAATGTAACATTGGCCATTCGTAATTATCGAAACGTTTCTCTCCTTCTATTTGGATATGGAGCTCCACCAAAAAAGGAAAAGGAAATCTCGGAAGGCCGGCGTTGGCACTGGTTTTCAACGGCAAGGGGGGTTTTAGCGGCAGGAAGTGGATAATAAAGAGTCCTTAAACCCTGCGGAGAGGAGAAATGGATATGGCTGCTTCACCACTCTCCCTCAAGCCCTTCGTTTCTTCCCATTCCATTTGCTTCAGGTAATCTTCTACTGAGTGGAGAAAGCAGTGAACTTTTGAAGTTGTGATAAGGTGTTCGATCAAATTTGGGATGATGGGTTTGGATTGTTGTTTGATATGGTGATTCTTACAGTGGATTTTGCCTGCTTATGGGTGGTTTTGGTTATGTTTGCAGCCCGACGAAACTGCAGGGTTATCCTCCCAATGGTGTTAAAATCCACAAGAGGTTGGAAGTGGTGGCTAAGGGTATGTTGCCACCAAGGAAGTTTATGCAGAAGAGGAGGAAAGTGGAGGTGTTCAAGGATTCTGCTGATGAAGCGGATCAGAAGAACTGGCGGAAACTGATGAAGCAAATTGAGGATACAGGGTCGGCTGTTTCAGTGCTCAGAAGCGAGAGGATTCAGAATCAGGAGATTCCACGGGACCTGGTTTTGGGTACTGTAATGAGATTTAAGCAGCTGAGGAAATGGAACCTCGTTATTGAGGTATGCATTGACTAGGGAAATTGATTTGATGTTTTATATGAGGGTTAATTTTAGATGTGTTTAGCATTGGCCTATGGAGAGCATGCGCAAGTGGTTCAGATTTCACTTGTTGGTAGAATTACTATGTTGAACTCCATAAAGGGCTTTGCACAAGCCGAGAAAATGTGCATTTCTGTTGTTATATGCTAATACAGCATATATCTCCTACTGGTAGATTCTGGAATGGCTTAGGTCACAGCTATGGTGGGATTTCGGCGAAAGAGATTTCATTCTGCTGATTATAGCTTATGGGAAACAAGGAGACTGCAACAGAGCTGAGAAAGTTCTATCCTTCATGAATAAGAAAGGGTATCAACCAAATGTTGTATCCCACACCGCACTTATGGAGGCATACGGGAAAGGTGGTCGGCTAAAGAATGCTGAAGCCATATTTCGAAGGATGCAGTCTTTAGGTCCTGAACCTTCTGCTTTGACATATCAAATAATCCTCAAGACATTTGTTGAGGTAATCTATCTTACTCTTCTCCAATTTGACATGAGGACTCCGTGGCCCTAGATGATGATGATTCTCAGTATATATTGCAAAAGGATAAGTAGGTATTGTGTAACTTAAAATTCTGTTAGTGTTAAAACCCTTGTTCTCTCCTGTCCCTTTCAACTTGATGTGCTTCTTTTTTGGTGATGAGCCTTCCATTATGGTTGTTGTGTTGTGGTTACAACAGGGAAACAAGTTCAAAGAAGCTGAAGAAGTTTTCCAGAGTCTCTTGGATGCGGAAAAGCCACCATTGAAACCAGACCAGAAAATGTTTCACATGATGATTTACATGTATAAGAAGTCTGGAAACTATGAACAGGCTCGTAAGCTCTTTGGAATTATGGCGGAGCGTGGAATTCCTCAGTCAACTATCACTTACAATAGTCTGATGTCATTTGAAACTAATTACAAGGAGGTCTCCAAAATCTATGATCAGGTAAATTTCTGGCCTAACGACTTTGCTGGTGAATCTAATATTCTAGAAACGAACAAGAGAAGGATCCCCCGAAATCTTTGCACCTCAATTACATTGGCCTTCTTGTAATTGGGGATAACTAATATTCAATTCATCCCCAGGTCGGACCTTGGCGACCACATTTATAAGAAAATTATATTGGTAACATCTGTCCAATGGAGAAATCTAAGTGTTCAGCCTTACAATATGTTGTCAATCTGTTGGATATTAAGCTTGGTGGTCATAGCTAGTTAGCCTTTGTTTCTGACTTTTCTGATTTTCCGAGTAAAGGTCAAAACTTTCATGGTTTAAGGACATAAACTTGACAATTTTATTGTGCATTTATGAATCCCACAAGATCACCTACTTGAACATCTGAAGGAGAAGTAGTATATTAGTTTTGGTTTGCTCACATGGCCATTAACATATCCAACTGAATTTCTTTCTTCGTCGATTATAATTAAAATGAACTTATCAGATATATTACTGTAATGTGTAATTCTTTTAGATGCAAAGGTCTGGACATCAACCTGATGTTGTGAGCTATGCATTACTCATCAATGCTTATGGGAAAGCTCGAAGAGAAGATGAAGCTCTCGCTGTTTTTGAGGACATGATGGATGCTGGTGTCAGGTGTGTTGGACACCAAACTATATTCGTTTTTCTATTCTGAAGTAATATATTTTTATCGTCAAAATATATCATTCAGCCTTTCATTCCTTCTTTTACAGGCCAACGCACAAAGCTTATAACATTTTGCTTGATGCATTTGCTATCTCTGGAATGGTAGAGCAGGCTCGGACAGTGTTCAAGAGCATGAGAAGGGACAGGTAATATTATATATCTGCTTCTTCACCGTCACTCAATACTGTTGAACTCATTGATCTGCTTCACGGTAGTTGCTAAGATTGCCAATTGAAAAATGGCCCTCTACTTTGTTATAGGATCACTCCAGATCTCTGCTCTTACACAACAATGTTATCAGCATATGTCAATGCTTCCGATATGGATGGTGCCGAGAAGTTTTTCAAGAGAATCAAATACGATGGACTGAAACCTAATGTAGTCACCTACGGGACGCTGATCAAAGGGTATGCTAAGGTAAACGATCTCGACAAAATGATGGAGAGATTCGAAGAAATGCAGTCGGATGGAGGTATCAGACCAAATCAGACCATCTTCACTACTGTAATGGATGCTCATGGCAAGAACAAGGATTTCGCCAGTGCTGTTTCTTGGTACAAAGAGATGGAGTCACGAGGGCTCCGCCCTGATCAGAAGGCAAAGAACATTCTTCTGTCTCTGTGCAAAACGGAAGATGACCAAAAGGAAGCTGCTGCAGTTACAGGGATTGCTGAGAGCGCTGTAACTTCTCAGGCCATTAACGGATCACCTAGGTTTGCAGATGATTCTGATGACGAGGACGACGATGATGATGAATATGATGAAGACGGGGAGGATGACTATGATGACTTCGATGGTGAGCCAAATTTGGGCGATGAGCAGGAAGGACTTATACTTTCTGGTAAAGATGTTGGGCTAAATGTGGATGGCCTGCATAATCTGACTGTTCTTGATTTGTAAATTCATGGTTAGGATTTTTGGTTAAAGTTAAGTTATGTATTTCCCTCCAAAAAGGAAGAGAGTAAAGAGTGAACGTGTTTAGCTTTTCAAACATGTATTACCATTGTGCTGTACAAATTTTGCATAGAGCTCTGAAATTCCACCTTGTTTATCCGGTTGTGATATAATGATGCAAAGATTCGGGGTAAATAAAGCCACCATTGATCCAATTTCTCTGGCCGGTTCAGTTTTAGTTGAACCGAATATCGTTAATTGATTCAATTTCTACGGTCCTATCACATGCATGGTTCAAAAAGGTGCGCTTATCCTTGCGTTTAGGGGTGTCTAGACGCAAAGTAACAACAAAACGGCTCCACTAAGAGTTCCACAACAAGTTAGGAATCCAAAACATCAGAGTAGAATAAGGTAATACCTAAGTGTTGCCTATGTATACTTGGACAGAGCTAGGCCGTCAATATATCAAATTGGAAATTAATATCTTCTGAAAACTCAATTTTTTCAAAATGTTTTTAGTAGTTCAATAGACAATAGCTATGGGCCATTGATTTATGATTCTATAAACTTGTGAGCTATGTTTTTGATTATTAAGTGTTGCTCTCGAACACCCGTCTTATGCATAACGCCTTCTTTAACCTTAATCACATGTAACTAAAAGCGAATTGTTTGTTTTGATTAATCGATAACCGATCAATTTCCCAAAAGAAATAGTTAAGTGATCATTATGTAAAATTAGCATACATAAGTGGCCGTTTTAACTAATCACCTCCTGTAACTTTTCAGGGCCATTAGGAGGTTAGCAAGCCATCTTTCCCCATTATGACGATAAACGTGGAATCGCGTGGAGGCAACAGCTGAGCGTAAAGAAACAAAAGAAATCGGGTTCCCAAACAATTAGATCATCGTCGTCACCATCAGCAGCCAGGTACTACCAAAAACGTTATCTACTTATATTTGTCTATTCGTGTTTTTTCTCTCCCGTTTCGCGGGCTTGTTTTCTGCCTTCTTCATCACGATCAGAGGGAGAAGAAGAAGAGAAGTGATGATGGCGAATCAGAGTATCCTCCGAAGCTTGTCTTCGACTGATTCCATGGAGGTGGATTTTTAATTTGAATTTTCTAGCCTTCCCTGTTTGCTCCTGCTAGCTTTCTGCCTGCGGACTGCGGTTCCACATTTTGGCGCGCGCGGTGAAATATTGCGGTTTTGCTGTATAGAGATTTTAGGGTCGTGCTGTTTAATTGGATTGGGGCGAATTGAACGATTGCTTCTGTATGGTTTTTTTAAGATTTGAGGTAGGAGATGTTGTTCTAATATGGGTTTTGCTTTTTTGGTTCTATAATGGTAGATTTGGGATTGGTTGAGACTCGAGGGAAATTGGTGCAATGGGGATTCAGACTATGGGATCTCAGAGCAATGGCCAGCAGCAGCAATCCCATGCATCACAGCCATCTCATTTGTCGAGCCAAAACTCATGGTATAGCTTTACTATGCATGAAATCCAAAACCAATTGGAGGGCAGATTGCAGAAACCCCTGGGAAGTATGAACCTTGATGAGCTTCTCAAAAGTGTATGGATCACCGAAGCAAATCATTCAATGGGGATGGACTATAGCAACGAGGGTGCTTCCTCTGCATCGTCGGTGCAACGCGAGGCTAGCATGACGTTGGCCAGGGCTTTGAGTGGGAAGACCGTGGATCAGGTGTGGAAGGAGATTCAACTAGGACAAAGGAAGCGATTTGGTGGCGGGCAGCAGCAGGATAGAGAACCGGAACTTGGGGATGTGACTTTGGAGGACTTCTTGATACAAGCAGGGCTCTTTGCTGAAGTATCTGTAAGCCCTTCGATGGATTTGGTTATGATCGAGGCTGAGACCCCTCAAAGTAGGACATTTTTTGCAGCTGGTCCAACCAGGGGTTCGTCGTCCCCTCTGCCTTCACCTGGTGGGATGCCATCAGACGCAAGTATGGGGTCTGGTGGTCGGAAAAGGGTTGCTCCTCCTGATGCAATCGAAAAGAGTATTGAAAGGCGTTTGAAACGGAAGATAAAGAACCGAGAGTCAGCTGCCCGTTCTAGAGCTAGAAAACAGGTTGGCTTTTGCACATCGTTCTTTCCAAGAGTTGTTCTATCCCAAATTCCTTTGTTGCTGACTTAGAAATTGGAATTGCCACTTTGCAGGCTTATTGTAATGAGTTGGAGAGCAAGGTTTCAGGTCTCCAGGAGCAGAACCTTAAGCTCAAGAAAGAGAAGGTTGGTAACTATGGGTTCTGCATTGGTTAGTTTGTTACTGTAAACATGAATGGCTGTCACTCTGAAACCTTGAACATGGGGGTATGAATCTTTTCAATGAACAATCTGGCCACCAACTCCACCTGGACATTCAGAACTAACTGGCTAACCTTTCAGTTCCTTTTATTCTGACTGGTCATCCTTGTCAGTAGTAAAAAAGATTCAAGCTTGCTTAAGGCTGTTCTCTTACTTTAACAAGTTGGTTTGCTCTGTGATAGTGCAACTCTGTTTCTGATGTTTGTATTTGGTTTTGGTAGGAATTTGAGGAGAAGTTCGCTTGTAGTCTGACAGCAGAAAACAGATACCAGCTTAGAAGAACAAGTTCAGCATCTGATCTGTCCTCTTTAGGAGTTCTATAGCATTCCCTGCTCGAGAATCTTCTCGATGTGCTGAGCCGACTGCTGCTGCAGCTATGGCCGAAGTGACCAGCCTTGGCTTCAGCCATGGCTTCTAGCTCTACAAGTCCTCTGTGTGATGGTCACTATTTAGGTCATGGAGCTCATGTGTATATTCAGGATTTTGCTAGTTTCTTTTTGGCTCTTTTTCCCCTCTTTTGCCCAGCTAGGGTCCAATTGATATTATGTTAAACATGTAGAACAGCACCAACTTCCAAAATGTGCCATCTGGTTTGCTACCTATGCCTCTTGAGTCATCTGATCAGCAATTAGACAGTTTTGGTGTATGCGGAATGCAAATGCCTTGCATGTACCAGTCAATTTATTGCAGGAATGTGTGCCGATTCCCAGAATGTGTGCCCTCTTCCTTCATACTGATAATCTGATAAACAATATGGAGTAGGATCCTGCCAAAAGGCAACTCTGCCTCATCTGGGATCACATTATACAGGCCAAATAACCAGCTAATAACTCAAATAAGAAGTCTGAATGCCTTGGAAAAGATGAACCATTCGCAATTTGTACAATACAAATGCAAATAACAAACCAAACAGTGCCGTGAAACAAAAGGCAATACTAACTCCATGTCCCAAAGCGAAAAACTGAAAATGAATAGACAGTAGTTGCTTGGTAATCTTATTGTGCTTCACAAATCTGCTTCCTAATCATTTTCCAACCCCTGGTCTCCCAACGGGCAGTAGAGAGTCTACTAAGGACCAAGACCAAAAAACGATAATGTTTCAGCCAAGCAACCTAGTAATGCCTACCCATATTGCCTGGATGCAAGTTGCAACGCAATCGTTAACTTGTATCAGCAGGCGAATATCATAGAACACAACTTTGCCAAGAGACAGCTGCTTTGCGTTTGTTTCTATTGTCCCAGACACTGCTCTGCTTGTTATACTTCCTGACCTTGTCTAGGGAATATACAGTCTTCCCCTCACCTTCCCCTCTCAACTGAGGGGCATAGAACTTGGGTTGTGCTCCAACTATCGCAACCCGCGGAGTAGCAGGTACACTCTTCCCATGACGACTTCGAGAGAAGGCTGTCAAAAAGATGTCTCTGGCACTAGTCGTCTGGATCGGTGCGCCCTGCATAATGGGCTTCCCCACAGGGAGGCCGCCCACAACCAAAGAAGTAGGCATTACAGGTGAGTAGTAAGCTACTGTTCTTTGATCCACATTCCTCGCCAGGGAAGCGAGTGTATACTTGGCTTGTGTGGTTGCTGTGACCGGTTCGATTGTCTCATATTGACGAGGAAACTGTTTGTTGTTCTCCTTGAACTTGAGGGGAGAATGCTGGCCACCCTCGACCCATCTTACCAGGGCAATTCGTGAAGATCTGTTTGGATCATATTCTATCCTTTCCACAACACCGATTGATTCAGTCTCCCTTTTGGTATCGATTCTTCTATGCAGTCGCTTTGCTCCACCTCCTCGGTGGTACGAGGTAATACGCCCTGCTGAATTTCTGCCAGCTGTCTTTCCCACATTAAGAGTTAGTGCTCTATGCCCCTCCTTTATCTTTTTAACTGCTGGAGCACTCGCTCTGCAATTATCCAGATGAGATATCTCAAACATCGACCAAGATCACATAAAAAGTGGAGGAAACAATAAAAAAGAAGTAAAGAACATGTATGTAAACCTCCACAAATACTGTCTACACAAAGGTCAATATTTGAGAAATATATATGCATATCAGTTGCCTCAGCTGAGGCCATGGAGTCGTTATCCGGGTACATAACTAAAGGGCAGTATGTGAAGTCTCTCCAAATGTACCATACATAGATGGCGTAAAATGAACCCAGCCCTTTACAACACCAGAGTCAAATAGAATCACTAACTAGAACAGAGAATCAAGCTAGTGCTGGACATAAAGAACTGAACCTAAGTAAAGCAACAAACTATCAGTCACCCACATTCCCCTTGCTGGTACTTCCAAACTTTTTCGCCCAGTTTTTTCACGACTTTCCATTAATATCAATAGGGAACCAAATTCCTACGGTTCAAGCTCCTATGCCATATAATTGGAAATTTACCTGGTTCCAGCCTTTGCAGCTCCACCAGTTTTTGTGGCAAAAGATCGTAGACCAACATTTCCATTTAGTGACTGCCAGGCCTGACCAGCAAGAGCAGTGCCAAGCCTCTGTTTCAATGCGCTAGCCTGATGACACACAGAATTCGGTACATTAGCTAATCAGAACTATTCCGTTGATTTCAGTCACCATAAACTGACAATAACCAAGCAGCTCCAATGAAAATTAAGCACAGAAGCCAGGAAATAAGATTAACCCTAATACAAACAGTGACAGGGGGGAAAAAAAGGGTTCGATTGAGGGAATCCGGATATCACAAACACAAGAAGCTATTTAGCTAAAGGCACCGCCTTTCCTTTCGATCTGAATATAAATTTCGCTGGAAATAATGAATCCCCAAAAAGCTCAGCCACGAGAAGAACAGACCGCTAACTAAGAAAGAGCATAGGAATCTATCACCAATCACTGGAGACTGTTCAACACACTGAACGGAAACGGAGGCACAAATCGACGGCGTGACTTACCATATATGTGTGTTACGGTGGAGAGCTCCGAGAGAAAAGAAAAGAGTAAACTCGCCGGACCTTTTTGGGGTTTAAAGAAGACGACGGACGATGACGGAGAGGTAAGAAAACTGGTAACTGGACCTTCAGAACCGTGGGCTTCTATTGCGCAGGCCGGCTCAATCAGAATCCAGATCCGTAGTCAACGAAGTTAGCTTGCCCGCAAACGGATCCATTACAGATTAGGGATGACAATGGGTCGGGTTGGGCGGGTTTTGTCAAACCCAAACCCAAACTCATGGGTTTATCCGCCAAAAAAACTCAGGGTAAAACCCGTTGGGTTTGAAAAACTCAAACCCAACCCAATCCGCTGGGTATCCGCGGGTTCATGGGTACCCGTGGGTTTTTGTGGTAAAAAATTTACAATAACAAGTTTCTTTCAAAATAAAAGTTTAACATCAATTTTCTCATACAAATTAATCATACAAAAAAACACCAATCTAGAGCATACAAGCAAACCGCAAATGATCAATACAAATTGTTCAAAGTTAAAGATAAACATCTATAAACAAAAGATTAATTGAAAGCTTCTTCCTCGTCAACTAAGTTTCTTCACTCTCCACTTCATAATATCAACTTTATTCTAAACAATTAGAAAGAACAAATTATACATTTCTCCACAAACATAAAGAATATTAATTGTTTAAAGATTATTTAGAATATTAAATATACCGGGAAAGTAATTATATGTGTGTCGGCGGGTACCCATGGGTCGGGTTTACCTAAATCCAAACCCAACCCGACCCGATGTATAATGTAACGGGTTTAAACTCGAACCCGGCCCAAAACCCATCAACACGGGTTTTACCCGTGTTGACCGGGTTAGATCGGGTGGGTAACCGTGGGTTCGGGTTTTGTTGCCATCCCTATTACAGAACACCCCATCGGCCATATACACGAATACAAACAAAGCCAATACACGAATACTATACATGATCCGAAATGGCAAGCCCGGGAGCCACGTCGGCATCCACGTGTCAGGCACAAAGTTGCTCAGTGTGCCAAGTGGCAGCCTGCATGCAACCCAAGTGGATTCGTCTTCTACACACTAATTTCCTCCACTTTGACTCATTCCCTTTCTACAAGGAAACAGAATCCCCTAGTACAGGAAATCACAGAGATTGAGAGATAAGCTTGGATTCGGTCTGATACTATTCTTTAATGATAATTAAGTTCATTAAGCACCAATTTGGGTGGATTTATTCCGGGTCATTTTTTGGCAGATTCTAAAGGGGTACCATTACAGATTTCGGTAGATTTTTTCGAAATGTCATTTTCTTTCGATTATGGAGGATGCAAATGACGGAATCAAACCGAGGCTATTGTCCACCGATAATGAAGTCTATTGATCCTATTCTCCACGAATGATAAGTCCATTAAGCACCGATTTGGGCCAATTTATTTTCTGATGGTATTTTCGTAATTTTTTGGTCGACGTAAGGCCATTTTCTTGGGATTTTGAAGGCTACAGATCCCGGATTCGACCTGAGGCTATTCTTCATAGATGATTAAGTCCATTAAGTGCCAATTTGGGCGGATTTATTCCCGGTCAATTTTTGGCAGATTCCAAAGGGGTACCATCACAGATTTCGGGCGATTTTTCCGAAATGTCATTTTCTTTCTATTCTGGAGGCTGCAGATCACGGAATCAGGCCGGGGCTATTCTCATCCGATAATGAAGACTATTGATCCTATTCTCCCTGGATGATAAGTCCATTAAGCACTGATTTGGGCCAACTTATTTTCGGATGGCATTTTCTTAATTTTGTGGCCTACGAAAGGCCATTTCCTTTGGATTTTGAAGGACACAGATCATTGATTCGGCCTGAGGCAATTCTTCAAGGATAATTAAGTTCATTAAGCGCTGATTTGGGCAAATTTATTGCGGGTCAATTTTTGGCAGATTCCAAAGGGGTATCACAGTTTTCGGGCGATTTTTCCGAAATAACATTTTCATTCGATTTTGGAGGTTGCAGATCACGGAATTAGGCCGAGGCTATTTTCCACCGATAATGAAGTCTATTGATCCTATTCTCCACGGATGATAAGTCCATTAAGCACCGATTTGGGTCAATTTATTTTCGGATGCCATTTTCGTAATTTTTTGGGCGACGAAAGACAATTTTCTTTGGATTTTGAAGGCTACAGATCACGGATTCACCCTGAGCCTATTCTTCAACGATGATTAAGTCCATTAAGCACCGATTTGGGCGGATTTATTCCGGATCAATTTTTGGCAGATTCGAAAGGGCAACCATCATAGATTTCAGTAGATTTTTCAGAAATGCCATTTTCTTTCGATTCTAGAGGCTGCAGATTCCAAAGGGGTACCATCACAGATTTCGCGCGATTTTTCCGAAATATCATTTTCTTTCTATTATGGAGGCTGCATATCTCGGAATCAAGCCGAGGCTATTCTCATCCGATAATGAAGTCTATTTCTCCTATTCTCCCCGGATGATAAGTCCATTAAGCACCGATTTGGACGAATTTATTTTCGGATGGCATTTTCGTAATTTTTTGTGCGACGAAAGACCATTTTCTTTGGATTTTGAAGGCTACAGATCACTTATTTGGCCTGAGGATATTCTTCAACGATAATTAAGTCCATTAAACGCCGATTTGGGCAAATTTATTCCGGGTCAATTTTTGGCAGATTCCGTAGGGGTATCATCACAGATTTCAGGCGATTTTCCCGAAATGTCATTTTCTATCGATTCTGGAGGCAGCAGATCACGGAATCAGGCCGAGGCTATTCTCCACCGATAATGAAGTCTATTGATCCTATTCTCCCCGGATGATAAGTCCATTAAGCATCGATTTGGGCCAACTTATTGTCGGATGTCATTTTGTAATTTTTTGGCGTACGAAAGGCCATTTGCTTTGGATTTTGAAGGCTACAGATAAGTGATTCGGCCTGAGGCTATTCTTCAACGATAATTAAGTCCATTAAGCTCCAATTTGGGCGGATTTATTCCGGGTAAATTTTTGGCAGATTCATAAGGGTTACCATCACAGATTTCGATAGATTTTTCCGAAATGCAATTTCCTTTCGATTCTGGAGGCTGCAAATCACGGAATCAAGCCGAGGCTATTCGCCACCGATAATGAAGTCTATTGATCCTATTCTCCACGAATGATAAGTCCATTAAGCACCGATTTGGGCCAATTTATTTTCGGATGGCATTTTCGTAATTTTTGGGCCTACGAAAGGCCATTTTCTTTGAATATTGAAGGCTACAGATCACTGATTCGGACTGAGGCTATTCTTTAATGATAATTAAGTACAGTAAGCGCCGATTTGGGCAATTTTATTTCGGGTCAATTTTTGGCAGATTCCAAAGGGGTACCATCACAGATTTCGGGCGATTTTTCCGACATACAATTTTCATTCGATTTTGGAGGTTGCAGATCACGGAATCAGGCCGAGGCTATTTTCCACTGATAATGAAGTCTATTGATCCTATTCTCCACGGATGATAAGTCCTTTAACCACCGATTTGGGCCAACTTATTTTCGGATGGCATATTCGTAATTTTTTGTGCGAGGAAATGCCATTTTCTTTGGATTTTGAAGGCTACAGATCACTGATTTGGCCTAAGGATATTCTTCAACGATAATTAAGTCTATTAAGCTCCGATTTCGGTGAATTTATTCCAGGTCAATTTTTGGCAGATTCCAAAGGGCAAAGGGGTAGCATCACAGATTTCAGGAGATTTTTCAGAAATACCATTTTCATTTGATTTTTGAGGCTGCAGATCACGAAATCAGGTCGAGGCTATTTTCCACCGATAATGAAGTCTATTGATCCTATTCTATACAGATGATAAGTCCATTAAGCACCGATTTGGGCCAATTTATTTTCAGATTGCATTTTCCTAATTTTTTGGGCTTTGAAAGGCCATTTTCTTTGGATTTTGAAGGCTACAGGTCACGGATTTGGCCTGAGACTATTATTCAACGATGATTAAGTCCATTAAGCGACGATTTGGGCGGATTTATTCAGGTTCAATTTTTGGCAAATTCCAAAGGGCTACCATCACAGATTTCAGTAGATTTTTCCTAAATGCCATTTTCTTTCGATTCTGGAGGATGCAAATCACGAAATCAAACCGAGGTTATTTTCCACCGATAATGAAGTCTATTGATTCTATTCTCCATGGATGATAAGTCCATTAAGCACCGATTTGGACCAATTTATTTCCGGATGCCATTTTCGTAATTTTTTGGGCGACGAAAGACAATTTTCTTTGGATTTTGAAGGCTACAGATCACGGATTCACCCTGAGCCTATTCTTCAACGATGATTAAGTCCATTAAGCGCCGATTTGAGCGGATTTTTTCCCGGTCAATTTTTGGCAGATTCCAAAGGGGTACCATCATAGATTTCGGGCGATTTTTCCGAAATGTCATTTTCTTTCGATTCTGGAGGCGGCAGATCACAGAATCAGGTCGAGGCTATTCTCATCCGATAATGAAGTCTATTGATCCTATTCTCTCCGGATGATATGTCCATTAAGCACCGATTTTGGCCAACTTATTTTCGGATGGCATTTTGTAATTTTTTGGCGTACGAAAGGCCATTTGCTTTCGATTTTGAAGGCTACAGATCAGTGATTCTACCTGAGACTATTCTTCAACTATAGTCAAGTCCATTAAGCTCCAATTTGGGCGGTTTATTCCGGGTCAATTTTTGGCAGATTCCTAAGGGTTACCATCACAGATTTCGGTAGATTTTCCCGAAATGCAATTTTCTTTCGATTCTGGAGGCTGCAAATCACGGAATCAAGCCAAGGCTATTCTCCACCGATAATGAAGTCTATTGATCCTATTCTCCATGGATGATAAGTCCATTAAGCACCGATTTGGGCCAATTTATTTTTCGATGGCATTTTCGTAATTTTTTGTGCGACGAAAGCCATTTTCTTTGGATTTTGAAGGCTACAGATCACAGATTCGGCCTGAGGTTATTCTTCAACGATAATTAATTCTCTTAAACTCCAATTTGGGCGGATTTATTCTGGGTCAATTTTTGGCATATTCCACCGATAATGAAGTCTATTGATCCTGTT